TGTACAGCTTGTACACGCTTGTCAGAAGGGAGGCAGGATCCCGTCCCTTCAGAGACCGGGCCGCAGGACAGTATTCCAACATGATAACGACCCCAAACACACCTCCAAGACGACCGCTGCCTCGCTAAAGAAGCTGAGCGTAAAGGAAATGGACTGACCGAGCATGTCTCCAGACCTGAACCCTACTGAGCATCTGTGGGGCTCCTCAAACAGAAGGTGGAGGAGCGCAAGGTCTCTAACATCCACCAGCTCTGTGACGTCATCATGGGGGAGTGGAAGAGGACTCCAGAGGCAACCTGTGAAGCTCTGCTGAACTCCAGGCCCAAGAGGGTTAAAGCAGCGCTGCAAAATAATGGTGACCACACAAAATATTGACACTTTGGGCCCAATTTGGACATTTTCACTTGGGGGTGTCCTCACTTTTGTTGCCAGCGGTTTAGACATTAACGGCTGTGTGATGTGTCACACAGTATAGCATATGCTGCTACTAATCACACAACTGTGTAACGTCACCTGAGACAGTACTGCACAGTAGTTCAACACAGGTCGAGAGTACTGTGTGTATGTGTACTGTTGGCTTTGTAATTTGTAATTTAAATGTTCGCCGTACCTTTCATTCAGCACAGCTAAGCACCGCTCCGTAACGTTACTCTATTAACTCTAACACGCTATTCAGTGCAGCGAGCAGCATATTGGCACAACACTCCCGAAAATAGGCAGAGTGACAGCGGCTATAGAAAGGCAGGGAGACTGCTTCACACAACATGCTGCGTGATTGTGTCAAGAGTTCTGGGAGGCAAGGTGGTAGGGTCTTCTGGTCAGCCTGAGAGAGGTCAAACCATCAAATGACTTGATCGATAGACTCTGTGGCCTTGCCATTGGTAAATATAAATAATCATTAAATTATGCCATACTACATATAAAGGGGCATTATGGAGTTTCCAGCGGCCACTAGTGGTGCGGTTTTAAGATTACAACCAGGCGTGTGCTCGTACACGTGCACGCTTGAACTCATGAGCGAGTATAATCTGAAACACAACCGCTTTCATACAGAAATCCTGCAATAAATGCAGAAACACCAGCATGCAGGCTGTGGCTTTTCACAGGCAACTCAACACCGGCTCTGTAACGTTACTTCACGTTACACCACAATAAATCTAAACTGAATGTTACGAAGCAAACAGTGGCAGGTCCGAGCTAATGTATCATTAGCTGGCTGCTCCTGGCTGGATCACTATAGGCTAATTTAGTAAACATATCGCTCCACATTTGGAACGATTTGTTAGTGGACTGCATGTCATTAGCTGCCGTGTTGTCGCGGTAGTACGAGAGAGGCTTGGGAGCGCGCACAGGGCTGAACCCAACCACGCATTAAAAGCAGAATAGTGGTTGATGCAAGCAACAGAGAAAACAGGCGTGTGCTTCATTTCTGAGTGAGTTTTGAGCCCACTGACAATAAGGCAATGAAAATTTGATTTATTAATAAGTAATTTCATTGAAAATCTGACAGATAGTCCATTTAAATAACTGATTTTGAATCAGTTCAACAACTTAGAGTGTACTGAAAGAAAAAGCCTCAGTAATGTTTCATGTGGACAATCATATGTCCATAACAGTATATCTACACAGGAGCGTTTAAACCACGTTTTTCAGTCCGTCTGATGGAACAGATACACTTCTTGTTTATGAAACACAGCTGTCTACACAGGTTACTGCCAAAACACAGGTGACCTACAATCAACACTGTGTGTTAAGGCATCAGTGGACCAGGAGCCACAAAAGAAGAACAATCCTCTGAGCCATAACTCAGTCAAATCTGAACACACAGACATGAAACACATTAAATCATTATCTCTCTGTCCCTCATGAAGAAACGTCCAGAAATCCACTTAGAAATCTGAGAAAGACGCTGCAGAACCTGCCCGAGAATATTCATGTTTAAGTTTTCTTCAGTATCACAGTAATCCAGTGGCAGCTGTCTGCTCATCTTTGGGAACACTGCTGCTAACAAGAGCTGCTAACAGCTGATTCAGCTTACTGCTGATGGGAACAGTTTGATTAGATGTTAATAAATATAGGCAACAAAATGGCCTAGGTAACTGTTAGCACCGAGCTGAGCCCTTCAGCACAAACAGCAGCTTTTCACACTCAAATGTTAAAATTTTCTGCTTTTTACATTTTTGTAAGCTAATAGTAGAAACAGAGAGCAGCTGAGTGTTTCAACACTGAAACTTACCAAACCTTCAACACGATGAAAAGATCTGCATCACCATGAGGGACAGAGTGAAAATAAAAAACGACTGAAAGAAAACAGGAAATAACCACAGAGAGAGAGAGAGAGAGCAACATTTCCTGCCACAGTGCACATATGAAGACTTTTGAACAAAGGTATTTACTTAAACGTGAATTATGTACAGTAGACACACACATTCATGACAATAAATCATACTGAATTAATTAATCATCAGCCAGGTTCATTATACATTAACATTGTCTATATCACCTGGCTCTATCCTTAAAAACCAGGAAGGACTTGCCCACCGGCTATCCTCCAGACTATAAGGAGTTAACAGTCAATTCAAAAAAACTTCCTGGAGTAACAACAGAAAGAAGCTCAGGGGGAATAATTATCTGGTTTAAAGCTCAATGTACCAATTCCATTGAACTTGTTAGAGAAGGTGAAAATTAGACAGTATATGGCTAAGTTGAAAAAGACCTGACCTCCAGCACCCAGCAGCACAATGCAAGTTCCACGTAGAGATTTAAAATAATAGTTATGGTAATGGAAGTGGCAATAATAATAATAAGTCGAGTTAGTAACATGCAATAATGGGATGAGGGAGAGAAAGTAGAGGAGAGAGGAGCTCAGTGCATCATGGGAAATCCCCCGGCAGTCTAGGTCTATAGCAGAATAACTAAGGGATGGTTCAGGACTCACCTGAGCCAGCCCTAACTATAAGCTTTATCAAAGAGGAAAGTCTTAAGCCTACTCTTAAATGTGGAGATGGTGTCTGCCTCCTGAACCCAAACTGGAACCTGGTTCCACAGGAGAGGAGCTTGATAGCTGAACGCTCTGGCTCCTAGTCTACTTTTGGAGACTCTAGGAACCACAAGTAACCCTGCAACCACAAGTAACTTCATTTAGTACAGTTATACATGAAATGTTAGGCACATCTGCCAGCTCATATGATATAAAGCTGCAGCAGTCCATGTGTATGATGTCAGGATGTGGTTTGGAGTTTTTCTTTTAATGGACTGGATCGTCTAGATCTTGACAATGTGTTATGACATAACATCTTTGCTAAATGTCATTTATCCGTGGATTATTATCCAGACTTTATAGGTGAGTCACTTCAGTTGTGATTGTATGTAGGCGGTCTGACAGAGGCGTAGGTTGTATTGCCGTTGCAATTTTATCTCTACCGCGTGGACCTCGTAACGGAGCTCACGGGGAAATTGAGCGGTGGAGGTCTTTGTATCTACGGTTATGCTCAGTTTGTTGGAGAGCATAACAAAGAGGAAGGTTCGCACTGAAAACTGTTTAAATGAACAAAAGGATTTATTAAAGATAACGCAACTTACAATTAACTCAAAACGCAACTAAACTCAACATACTCAAAAAAACAACCAAAGAAACAGGAGCTCCTGAAAGGCACCTGCCTTCCAGGGGGGAGATCAGGAGGAAAAGAGAGCCGTCTTGAATCCGCCATGGCTTTTAAAGACTTGAACAGGTGGCCGCAATCACTGACAAGGTGGGCATGTCCACCCAAACAGGAAGAAAGACCTGAAAACAGAAGAGAGAGAGAGCAGGCCAACACTACACAGTCCTAAGGCCCCAGGTCGTGTAAAAATGGAAGAATCATGCAGGCCTCACTTTTGAGGCTTTATTCATTAACCCACCTAAACAGAGGTTTCCCTTCCTCACGTGAGAGGCCTGACTGAAGCCCTAATATTGTTTTGAAATTAGTCTTCCAGGAGCCTGGGCACTGGCCATCACAAATGCTGAGAGGATTTGGATTTTGCTTCCTCTGCTTCATATTGCTGATGCTGCGAGTCCCTGATTCAGTCCATCTGACAAGGACTCGACATAATGAGCAGCAGGGTATGTTGAAGTGTGTAAAAAGACAGTCCCCTTGTGCCCTGGAGAGGAAATGTGTTGTTCTCTGCATTTATCCCATCCTAATTAGCAGCATTTGGACAGCTATTGTGAAGCACACAGTGCTCCTAGTTCAGGGCCTCGCTGTGGTGCACCTTCAGCAGCGGTCTGTGCTGGACTCGAACCAGCGACCCTCTAGTCTCAGAGAATGCGAAGAGTTTGAAGAGAGATTACTGAGTTATTAACAAGTCCCCACAGATTGAGCTAATGCCGCAAAGAGTTATTATCAAGGTCTTGAACCCCCAACTTCTTGCTACACATCCCTTCACATTACCGCTACAGGAGCACAGGAGCTACTCGTCAGATGATGTCTGGGGATGAACGTCATTCAACTACAAGCAGTCCACTAGTAAAACTCTCTGTACTTGTATCACGCCTCACATGGATTCAGTTGCCTGTCTGGTTTGTTGTTGACATGATCAAAGAACCACCGTGTTGAGTAAAGTTTTTGTACTAACGACAAGATCTCCCACTTCAAGCAGTGATGGTGATCAGATGAGAAAGTCTGTGATCTTGGTTGTACAACATCTTACCAAGTTCTTTAAGGCAAATTTGTCAAAATAAAAAACTAAAGACAAACAACAAAAGATAGAACAACGAGAGCTTTTAATTTAAAAATGACTTTATTTCCATTTTCAAGGTACAAAAAAACCCATACAAACATACGTGTCCTATAAATCCATCTAACCATGGAGATAAAAAGTATAGATTTCATTAACAACATCTAAAAACATTAGAAAACATGGTGAACGCTCAGGATTATTACAAGAAGCTGTTCCAAATCTGAATAAAACAACAGTTTAATATCAAATATAAAAGAAATAGCAGTTAGCAGATGGAGTTCATTCTGTTTTAGATGTTGCATGTTACCAAGAGTTGTTGGTTAAACTGTTCAAATGTTAATAATTAAAGTGATGAAATCAGATAAATGAGTTTTTGTGTTTGAGTCTGAGACACACTGTGAGTGCTGATCTTCAGTCAGCAGTGTTTCTGACCTACAGAGAACACAGAGCCACTGAGGAACCAGACCAGAGCCTAAAGCCAGGATAAACAGGTTCAGTGAACGTGGTGTTGAAGGTGTGGAGGTGGGTCAGTTTGTCAGAGGAGACTTCGTAGAAGGACAGAGTGCCAGCAGGACAGTCCACATACACTCCTATTCTGCGAGAGGGGGTGGGGGAGGAGAAGGGGGAGAGATAGTAAACTAAGGAGGAGACAAAGGAGAAGAGAGTGTAGATTAAAGAGGAGAAGAAAGACAAAAAGAAAGAGAAAGAGAAGGAGAAGGACGGACAAGCATTTTGTCGAAGATAAAGGGAGAGAAAGAAGAGGACACCAAGGAAATATTCAGGCCAGGCAACGAGGAGAATGGCAATGAGGAGGAGTGTGAGGCAGTCTTGGAGGTAGAAGATGGATTGTCTTGTGTCATTGTGCCCCACAGAATAACGACCATCAGAACAGCTCAGACTCCAGGACTGATCATTGTCTCCAAACAAACAGTCTTTCCTGTTTCCTCTCCTGCTGATTCTCCTGTAAGTCGCAGCTATTTCAACTCTTCCTCTGCACTCCACCTCCCAGTAGGAGCGACCAGTCAGACCATTTGTACACATCAGCTGAGGCCAGTCAAACCTGTCTGGATGATCAGGATATGACTGCTCCTGTTCCACATATGTCACCTTCTTGTTGTTAAACGTAAGTTTGAGCTCTGCGTTCACTGTGTTTGTGTCCAGCTCCAGTTCACAGGCATCTGATGGAGAGAACAGACACAAACATCTGCAGGTTACCATCTATTCATTTAAACTGATCAGCCATAACATTATAACCACCTGCTGGTCATTATGCAGGTCTCCCCTTTCTGCCCAAACAGCCTGACCCATTGAGGCCTGGACTCCACTCTGTATGCACTGTGTTCTGACACATTTTATCAGAATCAGCATCAACTTTTTCAGCAGTTTGACCTACAGTAGCTCATCTGTTGGGGCCAGCCTTCCCTCAGTGATGAATAAAGTACTTATGATTTGTGATTCTGGTCTCTGCATTGACCTCCTACATAATGAAGACCCTGGAGAGACTAGTGCTGGAACAGCTGCAGCCCATGGTCAGAACTCATGGACCCCCTTCAGTTCGCCTACCAGCCCCAACTGGGAGTTGAGGACACCATCATTTCCCTGCCTAATCGCGTCTACACCCATTGGGACAATCCAGTAAGCACTGTAATCAATCAGTGTTGTTCACTTTACCTGTCAGTGGTCATAATGTTATGGCTGATTGGTGTATTAACAACTTTACTGACAATTACCAAAAGTAAATCAGTCAAACTTTTTTTTTTCATACTGAACTATGAAAAATGTTTGACAAAACTGAAATGAAAAATGCAGTTACTTAACATGAGAGCCACGGGACCAGTGATCTTCAGTTTCTTTTTTCTTTTAGACCCGAGGATGACAACTAATGGAGATCCAAATCAATAAACACAAGTACTGAATAAAGTATTGCTAAAAACTGCTACTGCAGGACAAATAAGCTCTGAATCACCCACTCTCTAAAAATGCCACTACCGCCGCGAAGAGGTCACTTTAAGCAAAAAAGTTTGGACATTCGCACATCAAATCTCAAACTGTGTCAGGCATGCCAAGTTCAAAGGAAAAAAACTTTATTATTTGGATCCAAAAACAGAAACACTAAGTAGAGCAGGATCAGTTTGTCTAGTTTTATAAACAAAAAACACAAAATTGCACAAACTTACGGTGGTTCAGGCTATGACAAAGATATCAATGGAAGCTGCCCCAACAAAAGCTAAATAATTCAAACAAGGCGTGGGCAATCTCTTCAAAGTCCACAGTCAAATGAAAAGGAATATTTCATGTAGAACAGGCAAGTGAACTTAAAAAAACTAAATCCACTGAGAACATTCACACAGGGGTAGAGGCTCAAAAAGGGTCAGAAAAATGTGGGAAGGGATCGTTGGGCAAGAGTACTTGGGCAGGATTAATGGGACCAGGGCTCTGAGGCAGACAACCAGAGGGGCTGGACAAGGGTAGAGCAGGGGACCACAGGTGGACGGCCTTGAGGCAGGAACAAAGGGCTGAACGTGTCTGGAGGGCAACCAGGAAACCGACAGCGAAGACGTAATCCCTCAGGAGGTCGGCCGAGAGGGCTAAGAACACCACACACCACAAATTAGTGTAGAAACTTTCTCCAGAATGCAAGAAATTAAGTGTTTAATGCTCAAAATTTGCATCGTACAGCTGCTTTTATTGCATTTAAATCATTTTACTTATTTTGTTATTTGGCTCAAGATTCTAGTCTAATGTACATTGAAAAAGGTTATAGTTATAAATACACTATTTTCTGTGAATCAAAGTTCATATTTACAACGGTTAAATTGAGTAGCACCTCCTCTGTATATATGAAGATTTAAAACATTTATATTGATATGATATTGTACATTATCTTCAATATCAGTAGTGTCAATGAGTGGTCTACGAGCCAATCAATGGACGAGCGAGAAGATGTGCTGTGCAAATGCGCTATGGCGCTCTGCAATCAAATAAGATTTTAAATAGGCCTAGTAAAAAAAAATCGAAAATCAATCTGTGGCAGTCAGCTTTGATATCGTGGCGGGCCGCCACAAATAAATGAACATATTGGAAACACTGATATGGAACACTGGCTCCGTCTGGCTCAGTAATACCTAGAACGGAGCTCTTGGTAGAAAAAGTAGTTCAAAACAGAGCGTTCAGACCAGGAGGAAATATTTGTTTTAGGTAGGTTTTTGCTCACAGGGATTTTTTTTTTTAAGCTTTGGCCATGTTTAACACAAACATCCAACATTATAGCATTGTAGATAAGTCATAAAATATGGGAAGTCTCCTTTAACTACTGCTTACGTTGCTTAAGGTTGAATCTAATTTAATCTGAAATTTTAGACAAAATGTGTAAATCGAATTATATATTTCATATCGTGATATAAGCCATATTGCCCAGTCCTACCCACTATGTGCCGTACAACTTGGCATCTCAACCAGATGTGCATACTTGTGTAAGGCAGCTGCCTGTATAAGCCCCTAGGTGTGCCGTAAGCCATTAGGTGATTTAATCTGAAAAAATAAATGTACGATGGGGCATTTGCTGCTTTCTGTACCTTGCATTTAGAGTTTGCGTTTTATATTACGCTCTTTTTAGAGATGTATTTCATTTGACTGTACATTAACCTTTATATAATTTCTCTTTATTTTTGGTACTAGAATATTATTTAAGTAAGAGATTCATTTATTTTGCAAGAAGATAAATGCTTTATGTTTGCTTTCTGTGCCCTGTAAGGTATTGGCTGTGTGTCAGAGAGAGAGGATTGTTGCAGTGGAGCAATAAAGAGCAGTGAAGGTCTCAACCACAATCCCGAATCCAGCGTCTGGCGCCTCCTTCCCTCCATACGACACCACACAACACCTACCAAAACACAACGCAGAGTCCAGGGGAGGCCTAGAGATGCCGCGACAGTCTGCACTGACTCAGATGCTGTGGGTTACACTTGCTTAGCTGTATCTAGGCTGCTGTATTCATCAGTTTTGTTGCATCAGAGTGTTTAGCTAGTTTTTGTGGATTTTAAATTGACTGACCGATCTTTTCAGCCACACTAACAAAAACAGAAGGTAAACCTGATTGAAACTGAGAAATCCACTACGTTAGTTAAAAGGATAAAAAGTGTGCAGACATGTGCAGCTGTGTTCTTGTGACTTCAATTAAAAAATCTATTTTGTCTTTTACATAATAAACAAACCAAACTTAAAACACACTCACACTTCCTCAGCCCACGTTTCAGTCTCTGCACTCCAACATGGTCCAGCCTGGAGGAAGAAACAAAGTCAGAATCGGCTTCATACAACGTCACTCATTTTCACAAAACACGAAAACACAACCCAAGCTCCTTGTTTAGTCAGAGTAAGAGCTGCTATTGACTGTCCATATGTCTATGGCTGATAGTGTCCAGACTGTTGACTATTCATACCTGACAGTGTCCAGTCTCCAATGTGGATAGCGCAGTCCAGCAGACAGCAGCTTCTCTCCTAAATCTCCTGGATGGTTGTAGCTCAGGTCAAGCTCTCTCAAATGTGAGGGGTTGGAACTCAGAGCTGAGGCCAGAGAGACACAGCCTTCCATTGTGACCTGACAACCTGACAGACTAAACACACACACACACAAAACAAACTTAGGAATAACATTCCTAACTTTTTTCAAAAGCATGGTCTTTCAATGTGAGAGCATGACTTACTGATTTCACGATCAGCTTCTCTAATGCTTTTCCTCAAAACCCTGCCTTTGCACTCAAAAAGACCCTGCTCGCTCTTAAATTTGCTCTGCCTCTGTTCAGACTGTGTGTGACGCACACATTATATGGTCACATTCTTGACAAGTATTCCAGCACTTGCTGATATTTTATAAGGCTTCTTTTATAGGTCATTGTCGACTTTGTTATTCTGGGTGCAATACTCAGCAGGATTTGGCAGCTGACCAGAACGCTGCTTTACGTTCTTGTTGGCTCTCGGGCATTCTGCTACAGGAGTCAGAGCATCAACAGCATAATGTTGTCCTGTCTGCTCATTTCACCTTTAATCAGGTTAGTGTCATGTATAAGCACGAAGAACACACATAAGTGATGTATGAATGTTTAATGCATTTTAAATGACCTGTAAGTAGGTCTAGTTTTATTAGTTGTTGTGCCTCTGATCCGTAGGCTAGCGCCGTCTTTAAATCCATCCGTCATGGCAGGCTAACAGTTCAGTTGCTTTGTGTATCTGCTCCTCACTTGTTTGGGTTAAAGACCTGAGAGCTCCTGTAACCAGAATTGTTAATTAGGTTTATAACTGATATACTATAATGTTACATATTCACCTGAATATTTAACATTATAGTTATTTTACACATACGCTTGTTAACCTGTTAAAAGCTGATCTTATATACAGTAGCATGAGGAACTTAAAGATATTTTCATATTGTTAAATATTTGTCTTGCTAAAACTGTGAAAATGTGAATAAATATTCTGCTATGAGTCACTGCAGCAACAGCATACGGTTGTCCTGTCTGCTCATTTCACCTTTTATCAGATTAACTGTTTGCATGTTCGCATGTCTGGGTTCTGCAACATGTGCTTGCAGATGAGGGCTGTGCGTTTACAACTATGCTCTATCATTTATTTCATTGTGTCGCAAAATTCCACACTTTACAGTAACATTTTAGAAAGAGGACAGAGCTTTGAACTGTGTTTTACGCAAAACTAACTTCAACCTGGTGCGTTCTTCCACACGTGCTGGTGTCTTCCAGGGAAGAAATTTGCATTAAGGGCTGCTTTCTCTTCCTGCTTTCTTACAGTGCAGATGCTTTGCTGCTTGCTCTTGCCTCCGCTTGCATTCTTTTGCTTAAACTCTCTTTATCTGCTAGAAATCAGCTCTTGGATACTTTTAAATCACTGGGACTGTCAGATAAAGTTGGCTCTTGCCATAACAAAACTTTTATGATCTCAGTGCTATGTGAGTGCGGTCTATCAATAGCACTAGCCTGTACTGGAGTTAAAGCTAATGCTAATTAGCAACAAGTTGCCCCCCTTCTCCACGGACGACTTCTACAAACTTCTACAGAAAATTTCAGTACTGGAAACCAAGATCCACAGGTTAGAAGTGAATGGACTACGTGGGAATGACACCACTTTACCGTGGACCCAAAACAGTGGACAAGAGCATGCTAACACACGACTAATTAGCACCAACAAGACTACCAAGAAGCAGGAGGCCTGTGTACTGGGTAATAAATCTTAAAGTGGGAGTCCTCCTGGAACGCTCTTGGTGCAAAGCCTAAGAGTAAATAATTTCCTGGGGAAATGGGAGGACGAGTAACAGGCAGAACCCAGCGCCCTGAGATTTGTGATGCGACTGGCTGACCTGCATTATCATCCAGGCAGAGCGCCTCTTCAACCCCTGTTCTTGGTAGGACGCAGCCGTGGACAGTTAGCAACAAACCTCCCCAACCACCCTCATTGGTCTCATCTCTGGTGGGGATGAGTATGCCTACAGGTGGGAGATTGACCATCTGGTGACCTGGTGCTTCCAGAACACGGTCGTGGATTTCAGAAAGAGCACAGCCCCACCCTCCCCCGTTGCAACTGTGGACTCCTTCCGCGTCCTGGGCACCATCATCTCCCAGGACCTCAAGTGGGAGCTGAACATCACCTCCCTCACCAAGAAGGCCCAGCAGAGGATGTACTTCCTGCGGCAGCTGAAGAAGTTCAGCCTGCCAAAGACAAGGATGGTGCACTTCTACACCGCCATCATTGAGTTCATCCTCACCTCCTCCATCACCATCTGGTACGCTGCTGCCACTGCCAGGGACAAGGGCAGGCTGCAGCGCATCATTCGCTCTGCAGAGAAGGTGATTGGCTGCAATCTTCCTTCTCTTCTGGACCTGTACGCCTCCAGGACTCTGAGGCGAGCAGGAAAGATTGCAGCTGACTCCTCCCACCCCGGACACAAACTGTTTCAGACTCTCCCCTCTGGCAGGAGGCTGCGGTCCATCAGGACCAAAACCTCTCAACACAAAAACAGTTTCTAACCGTCTGCTGCTAGCCTCATCAACAAGGCCCGGGCCCCCCCACTGACACTCCCTCCCCTTCGAATAATACAATCGTCTTCGCACATGTAAATATCACTTCATGTCATATCATGCACGAACCTGGCACATTGAACATATTTGTTGTTAATTTGTTGTAATAAAAAAAGTAAATTGTTGTTGATCCATTGTTATTTTTATTGTATTATTTTTCTCTATTCTTCTGTTATTCTTATATAACTTGCATTTGTTTATTACATTTATATATTTCTACATCTATTTATGTTAGCTGTATGTCTGTCTGTGTGTAGCACCTTAACACCAAAGCAAATTCCTTGTATGTGTAAAACACTACTTGGCAATAAAGCTCCTTCTGATTCTGAAAGAGAGACGTCTGTTGTATGGACAAGTCACTGTTCCAGCAGTTCCAGTCATGATTTGTGTCAGGTAACGTTTAATGACATTCCCATAAACATTCAGCTTACTTTCTAGTTCACCAAGACATGCTGTTGTTGTGATGTTAGCTAGTAGCAGAAGAGTTATGACTATTTCAGACTGGAGCTGCTGTGCTGCTCTGGGACCATCTTGTCCTCTCATGTTAGCTTTCCAGCAGCAAGTAGCCACAGTTTGCTAACCCACAACCTAGCTAACATTAACATTAATTGCTGTGTTGTTGTTCACTATAATTCATGGTACTGGATTTCTCCAGAATCTAAATAATAATATTTGATAGCAGTTCACATACAAACTCCTGAGTCAGCTAACTCCTTTAATACAAGATCATAAAAAAGACTCAAAATATTGAACTCTACAAACAGCTGAATCCTGACCTGAGAGTTTCCAGTCTGCAGTGTGGACTCTTCAGTCCAGCAGACAGCAGATTCACTCCTGCATCCTGCAGGTCGTTGTTACTCAGGTCCAGCTCTCTCAGACTACAAGACTGGGAGCTGAGAAGCGAAGATAAAGCTTCACAGCTTCTCTCTGACAGTTTACAGCCACTCAACCTAAAAATGATTTTCAGTCAGTTAATTCACATGTCAAATATATTTAGAAAAACTGTCTGTTAAGAACTTTTAACAAAAAACTAAATTATGACCTAAGAAATTCCAGCGTTGAGAATGAACTCTCCAGTTCAGCAGTCAACAGCTTCACTCCTGAATTTTGCAGATCATTGTGACTCAGGTCCAGCTCTCTCAGACTAGAAGATTTGGAGCGGAGAACTGAAGACAGAGCTTTACAGCTTCTCTCTGACAGTTTACAGCCACTCAGCCTGAAGATTTTAGACAGTACATTAAATAATGAAAATATCTCAAAAGTAACAGGGTCATCATTTTCAAAAAGCAAAACACTAACCTGAGAATTGCCAGTCTTTGTAGTCCAGAAGACAACATCTTCACTCCTGAATCCTGCAGTTTGTTGTTACTCAGGTCCAGCTCTCTCAGACTAGAGGACTGGGAGCTGAGAACTGAAGACAGAGCTTCACAGCTTTTCTCTGACAGTTTACAGCCAATCAGCCTAAAGTTAAATTCCAGTCAATTAAATCACAGGTCAGATATAAAAAGCAGAAAAATGTTTGCTAAGAAAATTGTAACAAATAGCTGAATCTTAACCTGAGAGTTTCTAATGTACAGTATGGGCTCTCCAGGCAAGACGACAAAAGCTTCATTCCTGAGTCTTGCAGGCTGTTGTTACTCAGGTCCAGCTCTCTCAGACTAGAGGACTGGGACATCAGAACTGAAGACAGAGCTTCACAGCTTTTTTCTGAAAGTTTACAGCCAGTTAACCTGAAGAAGAATGTCAGTCAATAAATTCACATTTCACAAACAAAAATAACAATATGTTTAAGAGAAATTTTAAACAATGCTGAATTCTGACCTAAGACCTTTCAATATACATTGTTGGCTCTCCAGTCCAACAAACAGCAGCTTCAGTCCTGAATCCTGCAGGTTGTTGTTACTCAGGTCCAGCTCTCTCAGACTACAGGACTGGGAGCTGAGAACGGAGGACAGAGCTTCACAGCTTCTCTCTGAGAGGTAACACCCAATCAGCCTGAAGAGAAATTTGAGCAGTCAATCACAGATCAAATATAATAAATGAACTGAATAAAAGACTTCTGGGCAAACATTTACAACTAGTTATGTCATGACCTGAGAGTATCCAGTCTGCAGTGTGGACTCTCCAGTCCAGCAGAGAGCAGATTCACTCCTGAATCTTGCAGGTTGTTGTTACTCAGATCCAGCTCTCTCAGACTAGAAGACTGTGAGTTGAGAACTGAGGACAGAACTTCACAGCTTCTCTCTGAGAGGTTACAGCCATTCAACCTATAAAATATTTTCAGTCAGTCCATTCATTAATTACTAGGCTATATAAAGAAAAAAGGAGCCCAGAAGGTCATCGTTTCAAACAGTTAAATACCTGAAAGTTTCCAGTCTGCAGTGTGGACTCTTCAGTCCAGCAGAAAGCAGCTTCACTCCTGCATCCTGCAGGTTGTTGTTACTCAGGTCCAGCTCTCTCAGACTAGAAGACTGTGAGTTGAGAACTGAGGACAGAGCTTCACAGCTTCTCTCTGAGAGGTTACAGCCACTCAGCCTGAAAAGGATTCAGCAATACAAAATCAAACAATTTCAAAAAGTACATTTAGTTTTATTCAATGAAAAAAGACATTTATCTGGGTAGTTAGATGTACAGTATGCACGTACAGAGCTTTGTTGGAGTCTTGGACAACTGGCAGGAGCCTGAGAAGGGCCTCCTCTGAAGCAGAATATTTTGTTAGGTCAAACACGTCCAGATGTTTTTCTGATGACAGTAAGATGAAGACCAGAGCTGACCACTGAGCAGGAGAGAGTTTAGCTGTGGAGAGACTTCCCGAACTCAATGACTGTTGAATCTCCTCCACTAGAGAACGGTCATTCAGTTCATTCAGACAGTGGAACAGATTGATGCTTCTCTCTACAGAGAAATTCTCACTGATCTTTTTCTTAATGTACTCGGATGTTTTCTTTTTTGTCTGTGAACTACTTCCTGTTTGTGTCAGCAGACCTCTTAGTAGAGTCTGATTGGCCTCCAGTGAAAGACCCAGGAGGAAGCGGAGGAACAAGTCCAGGTGTCCATTTGGACTCTGTAAGGCCTTGTCCATAGCACTCTCATAGAAATGTGTTGATTTGCTTCCAAACACTTCAGGCCACCAGGATGTAGTTTGTTCTTCTGCCAGCAGATTGACACCAGAGTTGATGAAGGTCAGATGGGCATGTAGAGCAGCCAGAAACTCCTGAACGCTCAGATGGACAAAGCAGAACACCTTGTCCTGGTACAGCCCTCTCTCCTCTTTAAAGATCTGTGTGAACACTCCTGAGTACACTGAGGCTGCTGTGATATCTATGCCACACTCTGTCAGGTCTGATTCATAGAAGATCAGGTTGCCTTTCTGCAGCTGCTCAAAAGCCAGTTTTCCCAGAGACTCAATCATCTTCCTGCTCTCTGGAGTCCAGTGTGGATCCGTCTCAGCTCCTCCATCATACTTGACTTTCTTCAGTTTGGTCTGAACCACCAGGAAGTGGATGTACATCTCAGTCAGGGTCTTGGGCAGCTCTCCTCCCTCTCTGGTCTCCAAGACCTCCTCCAGAACTGTAGCAGTGATCCAGCAGAAGACTGGGATGTGGCACATGATGTGGAGGCTTCGTGATGTCTTGATGTGGGAGATGATGCTGCTGGCCTGCTCCTCATCTCTGAATCTCTTCCTGAAGTACTCCTCCTTCTGTGGGTCAGTGAAACCTCTGACCTCTGTCATCATGTCAACACACTCAGGAGGGATCTGATTGGCTGCTGCAGGCCGTGTGGTTATCCAGAGGCGAGCAGAGGGAAGCAGGTTCCCCCTGATGAGGTTTGTCAGCAGCACATCCACTGAGGTGGACTCTGTAACATCAGTCAGGACCTCATTGTTGTGGAAGTCCAGAGGAAGTCGACACTCATCCAGACCGTCCAAGATGAACACAACCTGGAACTCTTCAAACCTGCAGATTCCTCCTGTTTCAGGAAAGAAGTGATGAACAAGTTCCACCAAGCTGTACTTTTTCTCTTTCAGCACATTCAGCTCTCTGAAAGTGAATGGAAATATGAACTGTATGTCCTGGTTGGCTTTGTCTTCAGCCCAGTCCAGAGTGAACTTCTGTGTTAAGACTGTTTTCCCAATGCCAGCCACTCCCTTTGTCATCACTGTTCTGATCGGTTCATCTCTTCCAGGTAAGGGTTTAAAGATGTCTTCTTGTCTGATGGTTGTTTCTGGTCTGTCTGGTTTCCTGGATGCTGTTTCAATCTGTCTGACCTCATGTTCATCATTGACCTCTGCAGTCCCTCCCTCTGTGATGTAGAGCTCTGTGTAGATCTGGTTCAGAAGGGTTGGGTTTCCTGCTTTAGCAATCCCCTCAAATACACACTGGAACTTCTTCTTTAGGGTAGACTTGAGTTTACGTTGGCACACTGTAGCATGAGTTCCTGCATAAGCAAACAACAAATAAAATCAGTGAGTGGATCCTACAGAAAATCTGACAATTTGCAGGTGTGGCTCTAGTCATCACTTGAGGACAAACTGCCTCTGTTTTGATGCAGACCTGTGTAGCATATTAACCACAATTTCTTTGGAAAGAGGAAACAGTGTCAACATGGTATAAATTCATCATGTTGCTTCCATTTCCTCTTTTCATCATTAAAATCCTCTTACCGCTCTGCAGACAGTTAGCCAGCTCCTCCTGCTTCATTCTCCTTAGGAAGTCCAGTGTGATCTTCAGAAAGGCCTCTCTGCTGCTCCTCCTCTGGTCTTCATTCTCACTGCCCAACACCTCCTCATCCTCACTCTGACTCTCTAAGCAATCTGCGTAATCTAGACTCAGAACCCTCTGGACTCTTTTCAGCTCATTCTTCACAAAAGTGATAATATTCTCCTCCAGCAGCTGGAATAGAAAGATAAACTGCATCAAAGTGTTCATTGTGGACCAATAAAGCCATATTGATATAATATAATAATTTGTAAAACTGTCAAATAAATGTATCGGATACTTTGTTACATTTTTGTAAATATTTGATTATATCTTTTCATGTGACAATAAAGAAATTACACTTTGCTACAGTGTAAAGTAGTGAGTGTACAGTTTGTATGACAGTGTAAATTTGCTGTCCCCTCAAAATAACACATCACACAGCCATTAATCATTAGTCTAATCTGCTGGCAACAAAAGTGATAATAACTCATAATGGCCACCATTATTTTGCAGCACTGCTTTAACCCTCTCGCATGGAGTTCACCAGAGCTTCACAGATTGCCACTGGAGTGATGACAACAGGAGCAAACAGAATGGAGGTGGCAGTATTTAAATGAGGGTTTTGCGTGTTTTAATGCTTTCCGCCATGGAGAGTCGGGAGGGAAAGCAGCCACTGCGTGAAAACCTTGGCTTGTTTTATTCAGTGCGTCCCGAGTATGTGGAAATCGTATGTCTGCCCATCCTGCCTGAGATTGCACTAAGTACTTGGGACAGCACACCTGAAAAACTGCTTTGGCAAACCCCAGCAGAAACAGTATGTTGGAATGACCCAGACGTAAGGAAATGCCAGCAGATCGTGCTTCATCCAGCCAGAGGGAACGACCACCGACCATCCGCAGAGGGCCGGTCGCTCTGCGATCTCCTGTTCCTGGCCCTGTACGCCCTAGTGCCCAATTCCCTCTCTGATACCTATAATGGGTTGTGTCGCTATTGGTGATATTAAGTTTGCACACGTTTTTTACTCACGCAGACCTTTAGTAAATCTGGTCAACAACACCGTAGAATTGTTCATCACCTTCAGGAAACACCCACCACTGCATTCACCATTACTCCTCAACGGTGCAGCAGTAAACGTGGAGGAGCATGTTAAGTTTTTGGGTACTGCCATTACCAGCGACCTGAAATGGGAGACACGCATCTATTGTCATCAAGCGTGCTCAACAGAGGATAGTTTTCCTGAGACTGCTCAGAAAGATGACCTTCTCCTTGATGGTCTGCAAACAGTTTTACAGAGCCACCATCAGGAATGTACTTACCTCCTCCATCACTGTGTGGTACCCCGCATCCTCTGCCCACATCAAGCACAGACTGGAACGCATTATGCGAACTGCTACCCAGCTCACAGGCCAAGTACTGGTGTCTGTGAGTGTTCTGTATGAAGCTCGAGCCGGGCATACACGTAGGAGCCATTATACATGGGGGGGACACCATTTACCCCTCTCTCTCTCTCCCTCTCTCTCTCTCGCCTGTCATTGACCGGTCTTGTGCAGAGTTTTGTGTGCTTGCCGTGCTGCCGACAGCTACATGCACGTTCCTCGCGGGTCTATTTCAAGTAGCCGGCTGTTTAAAAACGATATAATATTCTTTGTGTGGTTCATCAAAAGTGATAAATTATCTCCGTCCCACGAGGTGCGGACAGTCCTGGACATTCTAGATAAACTCCCGGAAATTTTATCCTCACTCCCAGCTTCCATTCGCCGGGTGGTCCTGTAAATAATGTCGTTTGTGGTGTGTCTGAAATGGCAAAAAAGGATATTTTCAAACTTTTTAGTCTTTTGAAGAGTTATGGAAAGTCCGTTTTCATTTCTGGCGTCAACGCCAGAACGATTCTCGACGATTCGACTCCTCTCCCTCAACGAATGGCTCCAGTCAGCCTGCAGAATCCACGGTTTTACTTTTATTGACAATTTTAACTTGTTTTGGAACCGTTCCTCCTACTTCAGGGCTGATGGGGTCCACCCCAACAGAGAAGGAAGCCACATACATGTTGGCTGCTAACATCTAACATCTGTTTTGTCTTACAGAAACTTGGTTGTATCATGATGAATGTGTTATGTGAATGTGCTTAATGAATCTACTCCTCCCAGCCACACCAATACTCATATTCCTCGAGGTACTGGAAGAGGTGATGGAGTTGCAGCTATCTTTGACACAAGCTTGTTGATCAACCCTAAACATTAAAACAAAATTTTAAATTATTTCAAAGTCTTCTGCTTACTCTTTCACATCCTACCTGGAAAACTCTACAGCCAATTTTATATGTCATAGTGTATCGCACACCAAGTCCATATTCTGAATTTCTACTTGAATTTGCAGAGTTTTTATCATGTCTAGTTCTTCAATCAGATAAATTAATTATTGTGGGTGATTTTAATATTCACGTGGACGCAGATAATGACAGACTTAGTACTGCATTTTTATCATTACTAGATTCAGTTGGTTTTAGTCAGATTGTTCACAAACCCACTCACTGTTTTAACCACACCCTTGATCTTGTATTGTCATATGGCATTGACAATGAACAGTTTTTCCACAAAATCCTGTTCTGTCTGACCACTTTTTGATAACCTTTGAGTTTTTTCTACTAGACTACATGCCTTTAGTCAAATATTCTTACACTAGATGTCTATTGGAGGATGCTGTGGCGAAATTAAAGGAAATTATTCCATCAACACTTGTCTCCACACCAGCTCTCCTTATGACAGAGAACTCCTTTACTAACATGAGTCCCTCCAAACTCCAAACTTGATCATTTTGTTGACAGTGTTGCAGGCTCACTGCGAATGACGCTCGACTCCATTGCCCCACTTAAAAAGAGAATAATTACACGAAGAAAACAAGCACCTTGGTATAACTCGCAAACGCATAAACTGAAGCTTATATCATGGAGGCTGGAAAAAAAAATGGCGTTCCACTAGCCAAGAAGAATTACACTTAACATGCAGGAAAGTCTCAAAACTTACAGAAGAAGAGTTGCTTACTTTTCATCATTAGTTGAGGAGAACAAGGACAACCCCAGGTTTCTCTTAAGCACAGTAGCCAGGCTAACAGGGAGTCACACCTCCACTGAGCCGTGTATCCCTGCCAGCATAAGTAGTAATGATTTTATGAGCTTCTTTAAAGAGAAAACTAAAATCATCACCATATACTACTACAGAGACTGGAAAATTTTATTGGCATCAAAGGATCAGCCCTCAGTCCCAATTTGTATATCTGAATAATGATTCTTCCATGCACACCAGCATTGACCATGGAGTACCACAAAGTTCGGTGCTCGGACCAATCCTTTTTGTCCTATATATGCTTCCTCTCAGTAGAATTATAAGAAACCATGACATAAATTTTCATTGCTATGCTGATGATACTCCGCTATATTTAGTTATCATGCCGGATGATTCACATCAGTTAGCCAAACTCCAAGGTTGTTTACAAGATATCAAATCCTGGATGACCTGTAATTTCCTCATGCTAAAGTCAGACAAAACTGAAGCTATTTTACTAGGGCCCAAACACCTTCGAGATATATTGTCCAACGACATTGCTACTATGGATGGCATCACCGTCCTGTCCCAAAACGCTGCAGAAAAACTTGTCCAAGTTTTCATTACTTCCAGGCTTGACTAGCGGGCAGCACAATTAAGTCTCTAAAGCCTCTCAAGCTGATTCAGAATGCAGCAGTGCGTGTTCTGTCTAGAGTCAGGATTAGAGAGCATATTTCTCCAATTCTAGCATCCCTTCACTGGCTCCCTGTGAAATATAGAATAGATTTTAAAATTGTTCTACTTACCTTACAAAGCCTTAAATGGCCAGGCACAATATCTTACCGCCCCAATAGAGCACTGCGCTCTCAAACTGCAGGGCTGCTTGTGGTGCCTAATGTAACTAAGGTTAGAGTGGGACAAAGAGCATTTAGTTATCAAGCGCCTCTACTATGGAACCAGGTTCCAATTTGGTTGCAGGAATCAGATAAATTCCCCACTTTTAAGGCTAGACTTAAGACTTTTCTGTTTAATAAAGCTTTTAGTTAGGACAGGGTTGAGCAAATTTATAATATATATATATAATAATTTTATCGTTTTATCATTTTATTTAGTTGATTTTATTCTGATTGTATTTATTATTTGTTTATGACATGTTCTGTATTTTATGTTTAATTTTATTTAGTTTCAATGCTTTTTGTAAAGTGTATTAGGACCATCTCTTTTGGTGATTTTGCACTTTAAATAAAACCTGACTTGACTTGACTTAAGGATTATGTTCATAGATGCTTTAGGAATAATCAGATTTTTTTGGCTGCAGCTCATAAGTGTAACATTAGGATAACTAAATACATTTGTGCTGTGTCTCTCTGACTGTGCACCCGAGTCCTCATAATCTCCCCTCTCCAGTCTACTCTCCATCTTCTGTCACTGCAAATATCCTCATTCAGCCACACTAATAAGTACATTGTTTTCAAAAGTCATTCGAAATCTAAGTACCTTATTTAAAAGAAAACTGGGAGTGGGGGTAGGGGGAGGGGCATGCCCCCGAACCCCCCTAGCATTTCAGTGTCCCCCCAGGTTCAAAGTCGCTCCTACACCCCTGGAGCAGGGCAGCGGGCTAGTAGGATAGTGGCGGACCCATCACACCCAGCTTACTGCCTTATCAGAAAACTTCCATCTGGTTTTAGGTTCTGCTCCATCAGGACCAAGACCACCAGACACCTGAACAGTTTTTTCCCCTAAGGCTGTTGGTCTTAAACAATCCTCCCTAGCTCCTATTTTATCCTCCGATTGTTATCATACAGTGTCACCAGTGCCCAAAGTGTATTGAAAAGAGTACCTAAATGGGGCCACCAGATGGTGCAAAATAGCATTGATGGTTGCAGAAGAAACAATGAAAAACTTTGGTAGAGAAGTAAGGAATGGAAATTTACCAAATAAGAGGATTTTGGAAAGGTACCACAGTAGAAGGCACCAGAGAATTAACATATTTAGGAATAAAGGCGGGAATCTTGCAAGGGCACTGCCTAGAGTAGGAGACTGAGGACGATATAATTCGAGACACAGCGGCTCCTCCTTAGTTCGTGCTGAAGCCTGCCAAGATGTAACTGGTTTTTGTCTTTAAATACAACAGTCTGCAGCTGGACAATGGACTTATTATAATTTTAAATATTTGTTTGTCATGTATGTGCAGCATGAAGGGAGCTAAAACTTTCATTTTATTGTGTTATTAAGTTGAGGGTTAGCATACTGTGGCTACAGCTGCTGCAGCAAAGCTAACATTCAGAGAGGACAAGACGGTCCCAGAGCCAGAACACCAGGTAGCTAAGGTTGATGCTAGCCTACATTAGTGGGTAAGACGATTTCAAAGCAAAGACAGATATTGGGCTATCCCAGTCAATCTCCAGTTAATCCTCACTCACTCAGACACCCACCTTTTTAAGAACTCTTTGGATTTACACAATTGAAGCGAATGACCTGGTTGACACTAAAAATGGCGATTATTGAAAGGTGACAAGGTTCGCAGGTATGGTAGTGTAGGTGTTGTTTTTTTTTATGAACACACCATAAATATGGAGTCCAGGTCTGTTGGATGCTGCTGAGCAGACTGATCACTGGGAATCTTTGAGCTCTTCTGCTGAACTCTGAGAAAAATCAAGTTTAAAGACATTAATGACTCACATCTGCACAGAGTTTCTTACAGTCATAATGACAGGTGAGACTACAGAGTCAATGCAGATGACATGCACAGTGAGGATCTTTAAAATGCTTACTTTGGATAAGCAGATTGTCCATCTTTAAAGCTAATGGGGAAATCCTTGGACTGGTCACTCTTCACTGACACACAGCTGGGTCCCTGAGAGTCTCGTTTGTGATGCTTTGTCCTGATACAAACAGAAGTTATAGATGTTAAATAAGCAGATAGTAACGAGATTAACATTTCTAAAAGAATGTCTTTCCTAAAATTAAATTAGGTAATTTGATTTTAACTGATTATTTGACTATTTAATTATTGCCCTCCTGTCCAGAGTGGAGCTGTTGCCAAATCAGGCAGTGTTGTTTCCTGTCAGGATGCTCTCTACAGCTCCAGAGTAGACTGATTGAAGGATCCTCACTGAGACTGAATTCTCTCAGCGCTGCCTTGCTTTCTCACCAGAGTGTCAGAGTGATGTGTAGAACCTGGGAGCTGCATAACCTGTGGATCTGTTTGGCAACTACAAGGGAGGAAGGTGTAGATGTAGTCCTTGATCAGCTTCTCAAAGCATTTCATGACCCTTGAGGTGAGGGCCACTGGTCAATAGTCCTTCAAAAGCTGGAGAAACATTCTTAGGCACAGGGTGGATAGTGGATCTCTTTAAGCAGGTGGAAACCACGGACTTCAGAGGTTGGATATTTTGGTAAACACTCAAGCTAGCTAATTACTACTGGACAAGGGTCAGAATGCTGCTCATGTGTCAGAGTGTGTCTGCTCAGACCCAGCAGCTGAATAAACTCCAGCCACTCTAGCCAGCGTGTTCAATGTCACCAAGGAGGAGGTGGGGTGGACGGAGAGTCAGACCCAGGACTTTCACACAGAAGAAAATGCCAAAGTTATTTAGCTATTTGAGTTAAATAGCATTACTGACTGAGGTTGTACCAGAACAGGTTTACATACTTTCATCTACAAAATAACACCATAATGTTGTCAGACTACCCACTGCTGCAGCTCCTCTTTTCACCCTGTGTGTTCAACGCGCTGTTTAAGCTATGGAGTGAAGCATCTCACTTCTACAAGATCTTTGTTGCACGTCCGCAGTACCTAGTTAAGGACTACAAGCCAATCAGAAGCAGAGTAGGGCGGGTCCTGACAAGCTGGTAAATACGGCGTCGGTTCAGGTATACATGTTGCTGGAGGGGGTGGGGGGGGGCAGGCGGACGTCTTGTCACTGTGTGCTGCAGTGAGAGTGTTTCTCCACCGGTGTTTTTGAGGGCGTGTCGGACTTGCCGCTAGGCGAGCGTAATGACTCGTGTTACCATGAGACATAACATGATAACCGAAATAAATGCTGGACTACAAAAGAGTTCAGAGCAGAGTTTTCTGTGGGAGATGGGAACTCCCTTTGGGCTTTTTCACTTTGCAAACCTGTTACATGCACAAAAAAGAGATATAACTCAATAAAGGAGAGGGAAAAAGCCAAACAGCATAATACCACCTCTTTAACGTACTTACTCCCTAAACCTAACCAAACTGTGTCCGTTCCACAACATTAACCACGTGTTTAATGACATGTGAGAGCGATGTGCAGGACATGGGAGCTGCTGATACAGTCCCACAACAGACTATGAAGCTCTGGACCAAGAGAGGATTCTTCTCAGGAGAGTCAGCTAATGACAAATATCAGGTTTAAAGTCTTACCTTCCTTCAGCAGGATGTCCAACCTTAAAGTTAATGGGGCGACCCATGGACCAGTCACTCTTCAAGGACACACAGCTGGGTTCAGGAGAGTCTGGTTTCTGTCGCTGCATCCTGATGCAAACAGACAAATAACTACTAATGAACGTGTTCAAACTTGAGAAAGATTTTGGTTGGATATTTTCAAAATCTAGCTCCCTCTTGCTGGTTCTCCAACGTTGCCGACCGCAGCTTTGATTAATAAAGTTAGTAGTTATTTACTGGAAGCTGTTCTTCAGTAGCTGAGCGGCAGATGTGAAAGTGAGTGTGAATAACGACAGTGAGTGCTGAGCTCTGATATGAAGAAGAGTCGTGGATCTCACCTCTGAGCTTCCTGTTCCCCCTCCTCTCTCTCCTCACACTGATCCATAGCTGCTGCAGAGCTGCACTCTGTCACCACAACAACACTGAGGACGTTCAGCTGATCCACATCCGGTCACAGAGACTCTGAGCTTCAGCTGGAGAGGCAGCACAGAGAGAGAAGATGCTTCAGTCTATTAAATATGAGGCTGCTGTCACCACAGTCTACAGACATCAAGGGCAACTGGACTTTGCTGAAGATACTCAAAGACGTTTCACCGAGTTATTTCATTTGACTGAAATGAAGGATGACCTGGATAACAGAGAACCTTCACGTACAGTATCTCACAAAAGTGAGTCCACCCCTCACATTTCTGTAAATATTTAATTATATCTTTTCATGTGACATCACTGGAGAAATGAAACTTTGCTCCAATGTAAAGTAGTGAGTGTGCAGCTTGTATAACAGTGTAAATTTGCTGTCCCCTCAAAATAACACATCACACAGCCATTAATGTCTAAACCGCTGGCAACAAAAGTGAGGACACCTCTAAGTGAAAATGTCCAAATTGGGCCCAAAGGGTCAATATTTTGTGTGGCCACCATTATTTTGCAGCGCTGCTTTAACCCTCTGGGACATGGAGTTCAGCAGAGCTTCACAGGTCGCCACTGGAGTCCTCTTCCACTCCTCCATGACGACATCACAGAGCTGGTGGATGTTAGAAACTAGGGCTGCAACAATTAGTCAACATAATCGACGACGTCGACTATAAAAATTTGACCCAGCTGTAAAAAGTTATTAGTAGTGGAACATCTGGCTCATGATGTCGCCTACAGAACATTCTGCACTGGGTTATGCCTAAAACCTATAAGCACTTTTGAAAAATAAACTACAGAAGTAGTATGAAAGGGGACTGTTGCTGTATATTGTTCTAAATAGACACTGTTAGGGTACAGTTGTGGTTATAGTACTTGCTTTTAATTTATATAGTTCCAAAGAAAAAATCTTTGATAAACAGTTAAAGTTTGTATAAATCAGTGAATTATAGGAGGAGCCTACGCTGGTGATACTGGTGTTCATTCTGAATAGTAAACCTCATTCACTTAATGGTAACGTTAGCTTGTTTCGTGTTGGAGATCAGTGATTCAGTTGAAAGATATTTAATTAGTTAAATGGTTTAATTAGGGTTATGGGGTGACAAAAATAATAATGACTAGTCGATTAATCGAATAAATAACATTAGTCGACTACGAAAATAGTCATAAGTTGCAGCCCTATTAGAGACCTTGCGCTCCTCCACCTTCCGTTTGAGGAGCCCCACAGATGCTCAGTAGGGTTCAGGTCTGAGCCAGTCCATCACCTTTACCCTCAGCTTCTTTAGCGAGGCAGCGGTCGTCTTGGAGGTGTGTTTGGGGTTGTTTTCATGTTGGATTACTGTCCTGCAGCCCGGTGTCTGAAGGGACGGGATCCTGCTCTGCTTCAGTATGTCACAGTACATGTTAGCTCCCCAGTGCCGGCAGCACTCATGCAGCCCCAGACCAGGACGCTCCCACCACCTGCTGGACTTTAGGCAGGACACACTTGTCTTTATGCTCCTCACCTGGTTGCCGCCAAACACGCTTGACACCATCTGAACCAAATAAGTTTATCTTGGTCTCATCAGACCACAGGACCTGGTTCCAGTAATCCAGGTCCTCAGTCTGCTGGTCTTGGACATTTTCACTTAGGGCTGTGCTCACTCACACAGCACATTTACACTGTTTTACAAGCTGTACACTCACTGTCATTTCTCCAGTGATGTCACATGAAAAGATATAATCAAATATTTACAGAAATGCGAGGGGTGGACTCACTTCTGTGAGATACTGTACATCTCTGGGGATTGTTGAAGAAAATCATTCAAGTCCAGTTGGGAGGTTTGAAACAGTGGTGTGAGTCTAGTGAACTTCAATGAGTTCACTGGTGAATTTACAGACACTGAGCAGACTGAGCTCAATCTGCATTCAGACCTACAGTTTGCAGGATCAATGGATCACATTAGCAGTGGCCAGTGGGGCATGAAGGAAACACAGTCGGCATATGACCAAGATCAAGATCAAGGGGCAAAACCAGTTTTTGCCCCAGACGTACCCTGATAAGCTAGTCTGCACGGCCCAAATGTGTTTTTCTTCATCAAGATCAATATAGTTTTATCCTATCTAAGCCTACCCTTGATCAGACTTCTTTTATTCAAACTGTAATTAATTCAGATATTTAGTTTGTGTTTTCTGAAATCATGTGTCAAAATGTGCCGCACAGAGGAGCTCCAGCAGCATTTCACTGTGGAGTCATGTGGTGAACTTTGAGCTCACACACACTCTAAAACAGATCAGAAATCAGACGGTGGTGATGCAGCGGGCTCAAAGTGTTGGAAACATCCTCCGTGTTGGATTTGACTCCAAAGCCCTTTAAAAAGGATGTAAATAAGAACGTGGAATGAAAGACTTTGATGAAAACATCTCTGAACGCGTTTCTCTGTGTCACATGACACACTGAAAATGTAGATCTGTTCCTGTCTGCCGTCCCTCGACTCACCTCAGTGAGGAAAAGCTGACATGAGCACAGAAACACATTCAGGACCCAAAGTATTTGATCATTTCATCCTGAAATATTGGGTTCATGATAAATGAAATATGATGCGTTTGTGTGTTTTTAACCCGCTGCAACCAGCTGACCTCTGGGACAAAAACGTTGTTTGATTTTCAAAATACATGAATTAAACATTGACTATAAAAACTGACATGTCCAACACTAGCAGTGCTTAAAAGTAACTGATTGCATTAACTCAAGTACTGTTCTTTTTACATTTTTAAGGATTTCTTGTACTCGAGTATTTAATTTTTTATGTAACTTTATACTTCATCTCACTGGCAAATCTTGTACTTTTTACTGCACTACATTTTTCTGACAGCTTAAGTTACTAGTTTCTTTAGGTTTAGGGAATTTACTGATGAATCGATTAGTCAGTAGACAGGAATAATAAGCAACTACTTTAATAACTGAGTTGAAGTAGTTTCTATTATTAATCGCCTTTATTTCTTTGGGTTTAGAGAATTGACTGGACAAAACAAACTGAAAATGCCTCTTTGGGAAATTGTGACGGGTATTTCTCCCCTTAATCAAGTAAATAATCAGTAGATTAATCAATACTGAAAAAAATCATTGCAGCTTCAAACAAACACTTCAAACAATGACAGTTAAAATGCTGCTTACACGTGACTGTATCAGCAAGAATAATCTAATCATATCATAGATAACAGAACTGCATATGCACGGTATAATATACTGAAATCTAAAGTATCACAAGTAAAACTACTTAAGTCAATTTAGCTGATAATACTTAGGTACTTTTACCAGTGGACACTAAATAGGTACATTTACTAAGTACTGTACTTAACTACAAATTAGAGGTACTTGTACTTGAGATTATCCATCTCAGAGGGAGATCTTGTACTTTTTACTTCACTACATTTATCTGACAGCTTCAGTTACTTTGCAAAGTCAGATTTTTACTCACAAAACACATGAAGAGTTTATAAAAGATGATGTTTAGTTATAAATTAAACAGTTTTTACAAGTACAGCTGAAACGATAAGTCAGTTGAGAGAGAATTAATATGCAACTATTTTGATTGTTTGAGTCATTTTTCCTGTAAAAACATTTCATGGTTCCAGATTTTCTGCTTTTAATTATTATAATAATTTGAATGTTTGTTAATAACGTTGAGGTTTGGACTGTTAGATGGACAAAAAGCAGCATGAAGGAGTCACTTTGGGCTCTGAGTAACTGTCACAGTATTTCTCACTATTTTCAGCAGATTAATTCATAATGAAAATAATAATTAGCTACAGTCCCAAATGATCCATCTCAACAACAGTAAAATCCTGCCTTTGCATGAATGCATGAGGAACATAATCTGAAGATATAAAATAGTCACAAGGGACATTTTTCTGCATTGAGTACTTTTACTTTTAATAGTGTGAAAAGCTGCATTACATACTTTTACTTAAGTAACATTTTGAATGTAGAACTTTTACTTGTAACAGAGTAATTTTAAAGTGGATTTTAGTACTTTTACTTAAGTAAAGGATCTGAATATTTCATCCACGGCTGACTTTTACTTAAGTAACATTTTGAATGCAGAACTTGTAACTAAGTATTTTCACATGGTAGTAGTGGTACTTTTACTGCGATAAAGAAAGTGAATATTTCCTCCCCGAACATTAGACTGCTTTAACAGATTTGTTCTTGATTTTTATGTTTGGAATATAAACAACAGATACACTTCTATTAGCAGCAGATCTGTCTACACAGGCCGCTGTAAAACACAGGTGACCTACACTCAACACTGTGCCTGAACGCATCCTGAGGGGACCAGACGGGGGCGGCGGAGGACGAGACGCGAGGCCTCAGAAATGGAGGGATAACTCCGTGAAATCTTTACACACAGACATTAAACATCATCTTGAAATCATGCAGTGAGACTGAAACTTAATGAGAGATCATTATCGGTCATGTCAGCCACGAAGAAACGTCCAGAAATCAGCTTATCAGAGACAGAGCTGCAGAACTTCCAGAGAATCTTCCTGTTTTTAAGTTTCCTTCAGCTGTCTGCACATCCATGTTAACCATCAGCCAACAGCTGATTCAGCTGCTGTTAAAGGGGCCACTTTGATTAAACGTGAACACGTCCTTAAACACGGGGCTCCCTGTTGATCCTGAACTCGCGATGGGAAACTTAACACGAGCTGAACTCTACAACACAAACGGCTTTTCACACTCAAACATCTGGACTTTCTGCTTTTTACACTTAAACTTAGGCTATTTAAACTAAAGGCGAGAACAGACAGCAGCTGAGAGGCTGTAAATTCTGAAAACTGTCACTTACCAAACCTTCAACACGGAGAACAGATCTGCGCCACCGCGGCGGGCGGAGTGAAAGTGAACCACGGGGAGGGGGGCGGTGCAAACAGGAACTAATGAAGCTCCACACTGAGCGAGCTGTGAGTAAAATGAAACTTAACTGGAGGCTGCAGACAGAAAAGCACACAGTCCTGCTGCTGAGTGCTGCAGGTATTTAACAGAATAAGAACTTTACTCATTCTAAAAAAGAGAAGCTTTTCTGAAAGGTTATCTGTCTCATGGACATGATTCACTGAGATGTTTGTTTCTGCAATAAGTTATTTTAGCTCATAAGCCTTTAAAGTGATTTAAAATAAATAAGATTTTTAAAGTAACATTAACAAAACATGTCTGAAGAGCGCCTTTTTAAATAATGATTAGTTAAAAAAAAGTTTTATATCACAGACTGTAATGGGTCACATGACCTGAGTTAAGTTGAGGGCATAACAGGTGTCAACAGGCGTCACTGACACTGGGGAAGCTGGGGACATGTCCCCATCACTTAAAGGCATTTGTTAAAAATGTTCTGAATAAAACCTTGCAACAAGAAATGAAAATGTTTTGAGAAATACACAATAAGGAAACACGCAATGCAAATGTGCATGCAAGCTGCTGATTACTACATTTTAATATATTTTAATATTTTCATCTTCAGCTGCCGCCTGAATTTTGTTTCCCTTAATTAAATTACTACCAGAACATCAGTGCAGAACATGTGTGTGTTTAGTGCTCTACCCCTCGACCCCATATTACATTTTATTACATTTACTCATTTGGCAGATGCTTTTATCCAAAGCGTCTGACAATTGAGGATATATTTAGTCATTTAATATTTCTTCAAAATAGTTTTATATATCTTTTATATCTCATCTCGTCTTGTTCTCATGAGCCCAATATTGTGGATCGTCACACCTCTAATCTGAGCTCTTATGTCCTTTTTAAGACAAAGTGACGTCCTTGATTTGAGTTCATACAGCCATTAAAAAATGATAAATTTCTTTAAAATAAATAAGATGTTAAAAGTGTCTGAAATGCGCCATTTTTAATGTTTTGTTTTTAATGTATGTAAGGTTTTATTTCAAGTAGCATAGAGTCACATGACCAGAGTTAGATTGAGAGTATAATCACGGAATCATGGGTAAGAGATGGATGCAGAGATACGACTTCCAGCCCCAAAATAACCATATTCTGCATTTGGTTCCAGAGACACACACGGTATAGAGCTCAACAGCGACCACCCACTTTTTTCACGGCCCCAGAAGTAAATTCCCTATTTATTCTATCATTTCCATAAAGTTTTAAGCCTTGAACCAATCCAAGCAGCTACAACATGAATAATGACCAGAAAACATTTGAATCGTAGCAGAAGAACTACTTGAAAAAACAGAAAATGTGAAGAAACTACTAATCCCACAAGCCTTTATGAATGATACCTTTTCCAAGACTTTCACCTTAACGATAGTTTAGCACTTATTCTTGAACTGAATCCTTCTCACAGTGTTTATACGGTTGATGTATTGTAGTTTGTGTTGTCATAGACATAGTACAAAGGGGCGGCTGGGACTCAGGAGGTAGAGCGGGTTGCCCGTTAATCGGATGGACGGCGTTTCAATTCCCGGCTCCTCCAGGCTGCATGTCAAAGTATTTGGGTTACCTACGAAGCACCTTGGGCAAGATACTGAATCCCAAATTGCCTCTGGTGGCTGTTCCACCAGTGTGAGTGTGAATGTTAGTTTCTGTTTGAGCACTTAGACTCAGTGTATGAATGTGTGTGAATGGTGAATGCAATGTGGTGTAAAAGACGTCACTGTTTCACTTCAGGACTCTGGGTAGTTTAGTACTTCTCTGTGACATAAACGTATTTTTATTAAAACAAGGTTGATATCATACGGACTCGTGGCTTCTACAGGAGCATACTATTGTGCCACAATCTCGTAGCTGGCGGAGAGACTTTATCAGGTGGTTACAAAATTCTGGCTCGTAATAAAAATCCCAATTGATCTCCCTGTTGATATTTGTTGGTGTGTTTGTTAATTTATGTGCTTTCATCACATTTTGCTTTTGTGCTAATGTGTTTGGGTTACCTACGAAGACTTTAAAATAAATGCGAGATGTATTTTAAGCTTGTATGTCTATTATTTTCTTGTAGTTTTCACAGCGTCTGCTGACAAGAGGGAGAGACAAAATAAATTTGTAAATCTGTATGATGCTTGGCTATTATTTCGCGTGTAGCTACAGAAAGATTTTTATTCCTGGAGTGAATGTTACTGCGATTTGAGTTAAAATTCCCTCAGCAACAGGGAGGAAACTAGCAAAATGTCTGAGAGACAATCACATTTGTTGAGTTTCTTTAAATCAGTAGGTCTGTGGGCCCTGAAGTTGTTCTGGCGGATCAACAGGGTGGCGGTAACAGCAGCACATCTAGGAGCAAAGTAAGAAGCTTGTGATCTTCAGAAAAGCCTCTGCTGCTCCTCCTTACAGTCCAACACCTCCTCATCCTCACATGGACTCTCTTAGCATTCTGGGTAATATGGACTCAGAAACCTCCTGACTTTACTCTAACAACTGAAATGGAAAGATAAACTGAACATTTAATATAAGCCGTTAGAACACAGCCTGTGATTCATCTGTTCACTTGGACAATGTCAGTATCGTAGGGAATATATTAAGCCACCACGTATAGTAGTGTTGTAGTCAAGACCGCCCAAACCGAGACCAGAGTTTATCGAGACCGAGACAAGACCAAGACTTTTAGGGGTTGAGACCAAGTCGAAACCAAGACCGAGGGAGGGCGAGACCGAGTCAAGACCAAGACTTTTAGGGGTTGAGACCAAGTCGAAACCAAGACCGAGGGAGGGCGAGACCGAGTCAAGACCAAGACTTTTAGGGGTTGAGACCAAGTCGAAACCAAGACCGAGGGAGGGCGAGACCGAGTCAAGACCAAGACTTTTAGGGGTTGAGACCAAGTCGAAACCAAGACCGAGGGAGGGCGAGACCGAGTCAAGACCAAGACTTTTAGGGGTTGAGACCAAGTCGAGACCAAGACCGAGGGAGGGCGAGACCGAGTCAAGACCAAGACTTTTAGGGGTTGAGACCAAGTCGAGACCAAGACCGAGGGAGGGCGAGACCGAGTCAAGACCAAGACTTTTAGGGGTTGAGACCAAGTCGAAACCAAGACCGAGGGAGGGCGAGACCGAGTCAAGACCAAGACTTTTAGGGGTTGAGACCAAGTCGAGACCAAGACCAGTTCCCCACATTACAGGACACACAATAAAATGTGGAATGAGATCGTAGGTACTTCTCAGATTGATCTGAAAGATCTACTTTCCCATTAAAACACCCACATACAAACACTAAGAGCTGAAATCAAAGTTAGGATGTTAACAAATAAATCAGACGATGCAAAAACAATTTATTGGTATTCCCAAAGTTATGGTCTTGACTGGTCTTGAAATAATATTCCAAGTCCTCAATGTCCGAGACCGAGAAAAGACCAAGTACAAAAGACCATCAAAAAGTGTTCTTAAGACCGGTCTTGGTCTCGAGTACTACAACACTACCACGTAGATTTGAATGGAGAGCAGTGAAGCCAGTTTTGAAATACTCAACAAATGATGAGGACACAGCAAAGACTGAACAGAACCGAGCATGTTAAATACAGGGACAAATGAGGAGGGAAGGAGCGAACAGGTGAAATACATCAGGATAATCAGACAACAGGGAACAAAGTGTAGTGAACCTTAATTTTCTGTGTACCACCTTGCTTTTTGGTTTACACAAGCAGCCTGGAAACCTTGGCTTGAAGCATTGGAAATAAACTAATAATCAGTCGACATTAATAGATCAATCTTATATCTGAAGAATGAATTCTCAAGACGTAGATTATAAAAAGTACACACAATTTACTGTGATTAAACAGGAGTATTTATTTACTAACTAAGGTGAAGACAAGTGAAGTGTAAATAAGGATATACTGTATAAAAACAACCAATGATGTGTTAAAATGTATGACATAAACATAGATGACAATAACAAAGTACAATACTGAAGTTGGAACAGAATTAACAGGGTCCCTGGAAATTCTTTTTTGTCTATTGTGAAAGAAATATGATTCTAAAAGAGGGTTTTACCTGTTAGCGGCAGGGAACAGTCTTAAGCTGCGTTCACACCGAAAGCGAATTCAATATTCGCCTCACTTTACTCACACGAGTTTGCCCGCAGGACATTTTGAGTGTTCACACACACGCGTTTTAAGTGAATAAACAGCCCAAGGAAACCCACCAGGTAGTTCAACTTCCTCACTTTCTTTTCTCCAAGTAATGTCCAGCTTTGTCCAGTTTTTATATAAAAATGAAGTAGTAGTCCAGCAGAACTCTGGTGCCATCCGACGCTAATAACAACAGTGGAGCCGGATGTGCATGGAAGCTAGCTGCCAAGAAGCGCAAGTGAAGATAAATCAAGTTGTAATTCCAAAAACTAAAGTAAAAAGCTAATTTAATAAAACCAGTTAACTCTGAGCTCCTCCCACTGGTAAACGGCGTAGCTGTCAGAGCAGAATCCAGACTACTACGGGTGTTTATTTCTCCGAAAGCTGCAGCGCTACTCCCTGTCCACTTCCCCGTTCTTTAGCAGCTCCCCGTCAGCCAGTGGATTTTCATTACACCGCTCGCCTGGTCCTCTCCAAGCAACGCTCCAAAGCCGCCGGTGACGTTTGGACAATCTCACTGCTCATAGGTTTTCGCAACATCGCGTCAAGAATTTCTCGCCCAAGTTGAAAAATTTCCACTTCTTCTGCTGCCCGGAGCAAATTCGCAGGAATTTGCGACTTTGTATGTAATCGAGCCGCCCAAAACGCTGGATTCACTTTCGCTGGGAACGCACCTTTACAGTAGATGTGGCTAGCGCTGGTCTGTTGTTCAGAGTTGGACTGTCTGATGTCCTCAATGTTGCTGGCGGCGCAACTTACTCGTTTGATTAAGCTTCAAACTCTGTTTGCCATTAGAAGTAGTAAGAATCAATTAAAACAAAAAAAGATTTCAAAATAAAACTTGTTGGTTGCTTCTTAACCAAGATCCATAAGTTAAATGAAGTAATAACTTTAACAAAACAAAAGAAAATAAAAGGTAAAAATCACTAACTTTGCTGATGTAAATCTAAAAAGATATGACCTGGGCAATTTCTTCCAGGAAACGATGTTAGAAAAAGGCAAATCAAATCTCCCGCTCTGGGGTTGACAAAACAAAAAGGGGAAATAAAGGTCAAAATTTCTCCGGGCAGGAATCGTTGAAGGCAGGAAAGTTTGAGGAGAGACTTCCAGAGAGTAAGGGAGTTGTAAGCGTAAGCGAGCGTGACAGTGAGGTCCTCAGGGTCTCGTTTCCCACTCTCCCGGGGCGTGACTTAGTGTCTTGAGGATTTACTTTAACTGTTCAATAAGTTTCCAATGTTTATATTGCACATTTAATCATTTATCTTTCCACGAAGTTAACATTCTTCTTCATGAGCATTTCATTTCATTATAACGTGTTCATAAAGTAACATATACTCTTGTTAAAGTTGAACAAGCACAATTCATAGTGCCCTTAACAGATGAATAAACAGGCTAACTAAATAAGTTCCTAGAAAATACACATTCTGACTGCTAAACAATTCCATCCATCCATTCTCAACCGCTTATCCTGCTGACATCGGGCAAAAGGCAGGGTACACCCTGGACAGGTCGCCAGTCCATACGCTCAAACTCACACCTAAGGACAATTTAGGGTCACCAACCAACCTAGGCCACATGTCTTTGGACAGTGGGAGGAAGAACCCGGAGAGAACATGCAAACTCCACATAGAAAGGCCGGGGCAACCGGGGTTTGAACTCACGACCTTCTTGCTGTGAGACCACAGTGCTAAACACTGCATCACCGTTCCTCCCCTGCTAACAGTTCTTAATAGTAAAAATAGAAAAGTAGTAGTGAAACAAGACATCAGGAGCCGGTTGCACCAACAGGGCTTTACTAAGCCTGGTCCTAACTGCTAAGTAGGTCTTAGTTAAGACCAGTCTTTAGAGTTGACCTAACGTCGGTTGCACCAACCAAATTTAAGCCTAGGCTTAACTACGCCTGGTCTTAGCGATGCGCGTTCATGTGAATGGCCACAGAACTATAGCGGTTGCCTAACAGCGTGCGTTGCTGGGTTACGCTGTTTTGTTAACTTGTAGCCGTCTCAATGGAGGATCAAAGAAAAAGGAAAGGAAATTTCACCGACATTGAGATACGAAAGTTAATTGAGCTGTACAGTCAGCACAGACACACACTGACTGCCAAGCAATCAAACTCAATAACGAAGAAGAAGAAACAAACAACATGGAAACAGATAACGGAGGCGATTAACGATTGCTCTGACTCCGGCTGCCTTCGGACAGAGAGCGATGTGAGGAAAAAGTGGAAAGACCTCCTGAGCAAAGCAAAAAAAGATTTGTCTTCAAAAAAACACCACCCGACCGGCGGGGGTCCTCCCCCAAAAACCTCCGTGTACAGTACCATAATTGTGGATATCTTTGGAGAGGATTCCCCGGCTTTTATTGGTTTGGTCGGTGCAGAAAGTGGCGGTACCGATCTGGAAGAAACTGCTGTCTCTCCAGAGATGGATGTCGACCACTCAAGCGAGAGTGTGAATTGTGAAGGTGTGTAGCCTATATATTGGAGTAGCCTACACTAACAGTTTTAGTAGTTGTCAGATAACAGTAGGCCTATGACAGATTCTCTGTATTTTCAGACTCGATGGAGGCCCCAGTCACTCCACAAAATACTCATGAAGGCAGCAGCGGTGCACCGCCGATGAAACGGAGGAGGAAGCTGGAAGATCTGCAGCAGACACTTCTTGAAAAAGAAATTGTTAGAGTGGAGGCTGAAACAAAGAAATTACAGGCCAAGCAGGAAAAGCTGGAACTGGATTTGTGGACATTAATCATGTCTCCAACAGTGTTTTGAAACGCAGCATTTGCATAAAAACAGCTGTAATGCGGGTGTCAATGCTGCGTTGTGATCCGACACAAACTGTAAGTCGGGTGACAGCTCTTCAACAAGTTCATATATATCTCTCCGACAAAATCGAAACCTCTGAATCAGCTCCTCATCATTGTAAATGTCCAATGGATTGCTTCTGTCCCTAATAACTCTCTCCCGTCTAAAAGCCCGCTCATTGTAAAGTCTGTGTATAAGGCGCGCCATGTCTTTACTGCTGAGTTATCAAGTGGTTACTATAGAAACTTTCCTAGATTTTTACTTTACGCCTGCTACTGACTAGGCGTAAGATTTACGCCCGGTCTTAGTGAGAAGAGGACTTAAGCCTGTATGGTGCAACTGTCATAACTATTAGGTCGGTATGCTGAGTTAAGACCTACTTACCTTAAGACCAGGCATAAGCCCTGTTGGTGCAACCGGCTCCAGGTCACTAACACCCACTGACAGTAAATACAGATAAATGAACAAAGACATTTTAAAGTAAAGAACGGTTCCTAGCTAAACCATGTTGCATGTTGCACAAAAGCCCACACCAAGTCCCTGCCCCCTGATACAAACACCCACATCCCTCATCCCTTACTGTTTATCAAGTTTAATTGATCAAAATGAATCCCTAAATACTCTTTCCCCATTGATTAAGACAGGGATGTGATCACTAATAAACCTGGGATCAAATACCATTTCTTTAGTTTTTCCTATATTCAGTCTCAGGTTGTGCTCTTCACACCACTGCACCACCTCTTCTAGCTCTGCCTTATAAACATTAATGTTAGAGTCATTTTTCAGTAGACTTAGTATGGCTGTATCACTTAACACTTAAAAATATAGTTGTTTTGTACCGGCTTCTGCATTCATATGTATATAATGTGAAAAGATGGGGTGAGCTTACATCTCTGAGGGGCCCCAGTGTGAATGGCTTGCACGTTTGAGAAAGTAGAATAAATTTTCACCTGCTGTTGTCATCCAGAGAGAAATAATTTTGGATCACTTCAATACCAAATACGCAAATAAAGACAAGAGTATAAGGACCTTGGTATCAAAGTGGCGTTGTCTGCTCAGTGTATTTTTAGAGAAACATCCAATAATAAAATCTCTCATTCCCATGAAATCAAAATATATATGATGTGATTTGTTTTGCACTATATGGATCATATTTGATTGAGAAAATATTTTGATTGGGAAGATAGATTATGAGGTGCTGCCATCAGGAAGATGATTTAGAGCGAGTAGATACAAAGGTTAAACGCTGCATGAACAGCACCAAACACAACCAGAACAGGGAACCCAGTACAAAGATGATTTACAGAGCTTCTTGATTGATATAAGATCATGATGGATAGCTTTCCTTTTTGTTAAACCTCTAACTGTTACTAACTGTACATTATCTGTCTGCATCTTAGCTAGTTAGCTCAGTTAGCCGTGCATCCCCGGGGTGCCGAGATAACCACCTTGGTGCTGTATTACCATTGGTCAAATTGGCCTTTGTTGGCAGAGGTGAGATGCCTCACTCGGTTACTAAAACAGAGAGTTCAACACACAGGGTGAAAATAATATGGTGTTTTTAAAAGTTAAACCATGTAAACCTGTTCTGGTACAACCACTTAATAACATTAGGAACCTGAGATTGAGCAGAACATGACCTCTGTAAACTGTTAAAATGTTGATGATTGTGTTTGAGTCTAAGACACAGTGTGTGTGATGCTGAACAGAGCTGAGAGGTGGGCTTTGATTTCAGCAGCTGATCTTCAATCTGCGGTGTTTCTGACCCTAAACTACAGAGAACACAGAGACACTGAGGAACCAGAACAACCAGACCAGAAACCAAACCCAGGATAAACAGGATCAGTGAATGTGGTGTTGAAGGTGTGGAGGGGGATCAGTTTGCCAAGAGAGACTTCGTAGAAGGACAGAATGCCAGCAAGACAGTTTACATACACTCCTACTCTGTGAGAGACAGAGGAGGAGGTGGAAGAGGGGATAGATGTTTTTCTCTTATTGTGGCAGACAGAGTAACCACCAACATCAGAGCAGCTCAGACTCCAGGACTGATCATTCATTCCAAACACACAGTCATTACTTTGTGCGTTCCTTCTGATTCCTCTGTAAGTCACAGCTATTTCAACCATGCCTGTCCACTTGACCTCCCAGTAATAGAGACCAGTCAGACGATTTGTACACATCAGCTGAGGGCAGACAAATCTTTCTGGATGATCAGGATATGACTGATCCTCTGTCGAATATGTCACCATCCTGTTGCTGTCAGACAGCTTGAGGTTTCTGTTTGCTGTGTTTGTGTCCAGTTCCAGTTCACAGGCATCTGATGGAGAGAACATGAGAGACAGTGAGTTACTTTATTGTGCTGTTATTGAAACTGACTTAAACTACAAAGTGCTGCACAATAAAGAATATCATGAATAAAACATAGTGAAATAAAATTATGCCTCTAAGGTAAATAAGAATAGTTAGTGATTCACAGATTGCGGTGTACACTGAAAAACACACTATTAGTGTATCTTCCAACAACGACAGCAATGTTTAATTATTAAGCTTCTGTCTCTCATTCTAGCCAACTTATCAACCGCAGCTGGCTCTAGAAAACATGTGCATGCTGGTCTGAAGTCAGTGTGACCATCACACATTATGTTTATATAAATACCAGCTCTTGTGGGAAAATCCAGTATATATGGTATTTTGCAAAAGTATCGTACATTTGGTCCCAAGCCTCCCATTCAGGGAGGAACTTGATGGTAAATTCATCTCAATTCACTTTTAAGATCTTTGAGAATTTTAGATTAATTAGGTTGTGTTGTGGTTATGACTTGTAGGATTTTGAACACTAATTTATTAAACAAATCCAGAGTAGAAAACTGAAGGCTACTTGAACACAAGAACTTATATCTGTCAAACTTGTATGAGCTTATGGGCAGCACCTGAAGGTGACAATGTTTCAATGGGACTTTCCTGTTTAAATAAAGGTTAAAAAAATCCTCACAGAAAATGAAAAAACTCAATTAATAATTCATTTAAAACAAACATGACAGAATGTTCATACAATTAGATATATAACAAAGGTCATTATTCATAATGACTGGATAGTGGCATATTAAATATCTACATGGAAATGTACCTTGAGAAGCTTATATAGCTTCTAAAGTGATTGGTTCCATAGTGGTCCAAATCTAATGTGAAACCGTAGGGACTGTCTGAAATCCACTCACCGGAGTAATTTAAAGACTACGTATAACTCTAAATTGCAACTCTCTTGCTTTGTTGGTAAATAAGCATCCTGAGATCTTGATCACACAGATTAAGGTTTCATCTTTTTCTTTCTGCCAAATGAATTCCTGCCTTGCTGGAGTCTCTGGCCACCTAAATTACGATGCTATTCAGCACTATATTTTGGGGGACTGACCACTTACTCAGCTGTACGTTTACATTTACTAACATGTTCAGCTGTGTACTTATGAATCAAAAAACACTCACACTTTCTGACCCCACATTTTGGCCTCTGCAGTCCACCACGGTCAATGCTGGAGGTAGAGACAAAGTCAGAATCAACTTCATACACTTTCACTTATTTACACCATTAAACAGTTAGTCGGTGACAGAGAAATGATGTGAGAGCTGCTGTTGCCCATCTGTCCATTCTTGAGTGTCCCGTCTTTCTGTTTGTTCATACCTGAGAGTGTCCTGTTTGCAGTGCGATTCTTCCAGTCCCGCAGACAGCAGCTTCACTCTTGAGTCTCCTGGATGATTGCAGCTCAGGTCCAGCTTTCTCAGATTGGAGGGGTTGGAGCTCAAAGCTGAGGCCAGAGATTTACCGCCTTTCTTTGTGATCAGACTGCCTGACAGACTAAACACACACACAAACAGATGCATTTGACCACCAACAAGAACTACCTTTCTCTGTCGTACTGAGATGTATCTCAGTAGACCTCGTAGGAGAGACTGATTGATGTCGAGTGAAAGATCCTTTAAGAAGCAAACTAAAAAATCCCGGTGTCCGTTTGGACTCTGTAAGGCCTTGTCTACAGCAATCTGGTAGAAATGTGTTGATTTGCCTCCTAACTTTTATAACCATGTTAAGATAACCAAGAAATGTTTGTTCTTCTCACAGCAGATTGACACCAGTGTTGATGAATGGCAGATGGTCTTTCTGTTTGTCTATACCTGTGTAGATCCTCCAGTCCAGCAGACACCATCTTCACTCCTGAGTCTCCTGGATGATTGTAGCTCAGGTCCAGCTCTCTCAGATGGGAGGGGTTGGAGATCAGAGGTGAGGACAGAGAAGGACAGCCTTTCTTCTTGATAAGACTGTCTGAAAGACTAAACACACACACACACACACACACACAAACAAACAGGACCTCAGTGTAAACTGTCTAAAGTAAAATTAGTTCTATGTTATATCGAAGGTGGGTTAAATTCAAGGGCAACTTCAAAAGAAAGATCCATTTGTTCCCAGATCCAATTTCCAGGGACACTAACAAACCAAGCTACATCCATCACCTTGATAACGCCCACACAAAGGTTAAATAGGTGGGATTTCCTGCCAGTCAGTCAGAACTGAAAAAGCCTATTGAATGAGAGGTGAAACATGTTCGAGTATCTTCTTCAACCAAGTCCAGATGCCCTTGATTTTAATCCACCTGGATGACTGAGAATCTTCACAGACATTCTATATTATACTTTTACATAAGTCCTCTGTTCATACTGTTGGTTCAGGCAGAGCACTGAAGTCATGCTTGTACTGGTTGACTAGCATCAGCTCTTTCTAATATTCTAGATGTTCTAATATTCTAGATGTCTAGATACATAGTGGCCTCGGTGGTAGGTGCTCTTTGTTTTGTTCTGTTTTTGTGTGTTAATTCAGTTTTCGGCTGTGATTCCCGGTGCTCTTTTACCAGAGAAGAGCTCACGAACATCAGGGGAACAACTCCAGCAGATTTAGTTCCCACTTTTCTCACGTCATCAGTGGAATTATTGGACATTAAGTGTCCAACCAGAGAGGGTAACACTGCTACACCACAGTTAGCAGTGCCTATCACGCCGTCACACGCGCTCCACTGGGATACTCTGATCAAGTCATGATCTTCCTGATTCCTGCTTACAGGCAAAAAATAAAGCTCTGTAAACCTGTAGTGAGGACATCAAAGAAGTGGACTAGTGAAGCTGTTGAGGATCCTCAGGCGTGTTTGGACTGCACTAACTGGGATGTTTTCAGGACTGCTACCAACAATCTGGACGAGTTTACAGAGGCTGTGACGTTCTATAACAGCTTCTGTGAGGACACTTGTATACCAACATGCACCAGGGTGAGTTATAACAATGACAAACCCTGGTTTACAGCCAAACTCAGACAGCTAAGGTTGGAAAAGGAGGAGGCATTTTTGGGGTGGGGACGAGCCAGATGCAGAAGTACAGGTTTAGCAAGGAGGTGCGAGAAGCTAAACGACTATACGCAGAGAGGCTAAAGAACCAGTTCTCTGCAAACAATGCTACTTCTGTCTGGAGGGGGTTGAGACTCCTAACTACAAACCCAAAGCCCACCACTCCATCAACGACTCTCGCCTGGCAAATGAGCTGAACCAGTTCTACTGCCGCCAATAGGACACCATCCCCCGTGACTCCTCCGCTCAGCTTCAAGCCCTGTCCACCATCTCCTCCCCCCACTCCTCAGAGTTGACCATCTCCACCCCTTCCCTCCTCTCTCCATCTCAGGGGGGGATGTCAACAGAGGAGGCAGAAACCCCACAAAGCAGCTGGGCTGGACTCTGTCTCCCCATCCACCCTGAAGCACTGTGCTGATCAGCTGTCTCCAGTGTTCACAGACATTTTTAACACCTCACTGGAGACATGCCATGTGCCAGCCTGCTTCAAAGCCTCCACCATCATCCCTGTCCCCAAAAAATCAAGGACCACAGGACTGAACAACTTCAGATCTTGCTAATTGCCTATAATTTCCACCTGTTGTCTATTCCATTTGCACAACAGCATGTGAAATTGATTGTCAATCAGTGTTGCTTCCTAAGTGGACAGTTTGATTTCACAGGAGTGTGATTGACTTGGAGTTACATTGTGTTGTTTAAGTGTTCCCTTAAATTTTTTGAGCAGTGTAGTTCCAGAGCTTTAGAAGTGTTATCTTTGAACTTCTGACCCAGCCCCATTGTCTGCAAGATCTTTATTTACCCCTCGGTGGACATATTGGACCATGTTCAAAGCTTGTAAAGTGGATGCGACTATCCAGGGTTGCGACTATAAGCAACCCTGGATAAATGACAGCATTCGCAGCCTAAAAAGGGAATGCAGGAAAGCAGAGCGCAGATGGAAAAAATCCAGTCTCCAAGTCCATTACCTCAGTCTGAAGGATTTATTAATTAACTACAATAACTTGGTTAAGGATGCGAGAACACACTATTTTTCCTAACTCATTACTACACATAAACACAATCCCAGGTTTCTGTTTAAGACTGTGGATCAGCTGGTAAACCCAACCCTCCTTGTGCCTCAGCTGGAAGTATTACCCCCGCGGCCTCTTACTCAGAGGTCCCTCACCAGCAACAAGAGAGTTTTAACCAGTTTTATCCCATCGACTTGTCTGAGCTTTTAAAAACAGTATCACAAATGAGAGTGTCCTCCAGCCCACTTGATGTAATACCTACAAAGTACTTACTAAAAGTAATAGATTCTGTTGGGCCCCATTTGATCTCTGTTTTCAACAGCTCCCTATCTACTGGTAGTGTCCCTGATTATTTTAAAACGGCTTGCGTGAACCCACTTTTAAAGAAACGTGGTTTAGATCCCTCCCTCCCACATAATTTTAGACCAATTTCAAAACTGCCTTTTATTGCAAAGATTCTAGAAAGAATTGTGTCCAAACAGCCGCTCACTGTACTGGAAAATAACAAAATATTTGAAAAGTTTCAGTCTGGTTTCAGGAAGTACCACAGCACTGAGACTGCCCTGCTTAAAGTCACCAATGACCTTTTAATGTCTGCTGATGAAGGCATGTGCTCAGTCCTGGTACTCCTGGACCTTAGCGCTGCTTTTGACACCATTGATCACAACATCATGTTAGACAGACTGAGGCACTGGGTGGGGATCTCTGGTACTGCCCTAGAATGGTTTTCATCCTACCTGTCAAATAGGAAGTTTTGCGTGTCTGTAAACAACTATGTCTCCTCGTTCTGTCCAGTTAAATATGGTGTGCCTCAGGGGTCGGTCTTAGGACCCATTTTGTTTTCCTTGTATCTGCTTCCCCTTGGACATATTATCCATAAACATGGTATTTCTTTTCATATTTATGCTGATGACACAGAAATGTACTTGCCCGTCAGATCCACAGACCCTGGAATGCTGAGTTCACTTAACAACTGCCTTTGTGAAGTTAAAAAATGGATGTCAAATAATTTCCTCCAGCTGAACTCAGACAAAACAGAAATCCTGGTCATCGGGTCTCAGCAGACGGCAAAACAAATACTGCCATCTGCTGGTTCCCTAGTAAATCACATTAAGTCTGTGGCAAAGAACCTTGGTGTTTGGTTTGATAGTAATTTAAATTTCGAGCAGCACACCACAAAGCTTGTTCAATCATGTTTTTATCAACTTAGAAATATAGCAAAAATTTGATCTATGTTAACTTTTAAGGACACCGAGTCCATTTTACACGCCTTCATCTCATCACGCCTGGATTATTGCAACAGCCTTTTCACCTGTTTAACCCAAAATCTACTGATCGACTCCAGACTGTCCAGAACTCAGCTGCCAGGCTTTTAACCAGAACAAAGAAATATGACCACATTACTCCTATTTTAGCTTCATTACACTGGCTCCCAGTATGTTTTAGAATTGACTTTAAAATTCTATTGATCACTTTTAAAGCTCTTCATGGCCTCTCGCCTTGTTATATTTCTGACCTTTTAGTCCCATACGCACCAGCACGTACCTTGAGATCCTCGGGCAGAGGTCTGTTGTCTGTTCCAGAGTCTCGACTGAAAACTAAAGGGGACAGAGCGTTTGCTGTCAGGGCCCCGAGGCTCTGGAACAGCCTGCCCGAGGAAATCAGGTCGGCTGAGTCGGTGAACTCTTTTAAGTCCCTTCTTAAAACATACTTTTATAGGAGAGCCTTTCCCGATCTTATTTGACTTTATTTTATCCCTTTTATTTTATTCTATTTTACTATTTTTATATTTATCTTAAACATGTATTTTAGTCTTTTCAATGTTTTCATGCTTTTATCTTGTATTTTTTTGTATTATTGTCTTTTGGGTATTATTGTCTTTACACTTGTTAAAGCACTTTGTAACTTGTTTTTGAAAAGTGCTCTACAAATTATTGTGGAAAACCACACTATAGGCCAATCCAACTTTGATGTAATGTCCTTAAAACAAGTCAAAATGAGGCTCAGTAGTGTGTGTGGCCTCCACGTGCCTGTATGACCTCCCTACAACGCCTGGGCTCCTGATGAGGTGGCGGATGGTCTCTTGAGGGATCTCCTCCCAGACCTGGACTAAAGCATCCGCCAACTCCTGGACAGTCTGTGGTGCAACGTGGCGTTGGTGGATGGAGCGAGACATGATGTCCCAGATGTGCTCAATTGGATTCAGGTCTGGGGAACGGGCGGGCCAGTCCATAGCATCAATACCTTCCTCTTGGAGGAACTGCTGACACACTCCAGCCACATGAGGTCTAGCATTGTGTTGCATTAGGAGGAACCCAGGGCCAACCGCACCAGTATATGGTCTCACAAGGGGTCTGAGGATCTCATCTCGGTACCTAATGGCAGTCAGGCTACCTCTGGCGAGCACATGGAGGGCTGTGCGGCCCCCCAAAGAAATGCCACCCCACACCATTACTGACCCACCGCCAAACCGGTCACGCTGGAGGATGTTGCAGGCAGCAGAACGTTCTCCACGGCGTCTCCAGACTCTGTCACGTCTGTCACATGTGCTCAGTGTGAACCTGCTTTCATCTGTGAAGAGCACAGGGCGCCAGGGGCGAATTTGCCAATCTTGGTGTTCTCTGGCAAATGCCAAACGTCCTGCACGGTGTTGGGCTGTAAGCTCAACCCCCACCTGTGGACGTCGGGCCCTCATACCACCCTCATGGAGTCTGTTTCTGACCGTTTGAGCAGACACATGCACATTTGTGGCCTGCTGGAGGTCATTTTGCAGGGCTCTGGCAGTGCTCCTCCTGCTCCTCCTTGCACAAAGGCGGAGGTAGCGGTCCTGCTGCTGGGTTGTTGCCCTCCTACGGCCTCCTCCACATCTCCTGATGTACTGGCCTGTCTCCTGGTAGCGCCTCCATTACCAGCGCTGGCACTAGAGTGAAAGCACGGCCAGCATTCAAAAGTGACCAAAACATCAGCCAGGAAGCACAGGAACTGAGAAGTGGTCTGTGGTCACCACCTGCAGAATCACTCCTTTATTGGGGGTGTCTTGCTAATTGCCTATAATTTCCACCTGTTGTCTTTTCCATTTGCACAACAGCATGTGAAATTGATTGTCAATCAGTGTTGCTTCCTAAGTGGACAGTTTGATTTCACAGGAGTGTGATTGACTTGGAGTTACATTGTGTTGTTTAAGTGTTCCCTTTATTTTTTTGAGCAGTGTACTACAAGGCCAGAGAGGCTGCAGCTTTGGTAGTTACCAACGCAAAAGGTGAGTGTGTCAAGAGTTCAGGGATGTATAGCAATTGTAAGTTGCTTTGGATAAAAGCATCAGCTAAATGTAATGTAATTTCTGCTTTGTGGACAAGCTCACTATGCTGGCAACAAGCTTCTAAGTCAGCTATGTCTTTGTTATGATATTACTGCCACATTGTATACAGGATCATAAAAGACTAAAAAGCTTCTTTATTTAACTTGCAGGATGACTCATTACAAAACGCTGAAATCTGACCTGACAGTTTCCAGTGTAAAGTCTGGACTCTTCCGTCCAGCAGACGTCACTCTTGAATCCAGCAGGTTCTTACTCAGGTCCAGCTCTTTCAAACTAGAGGACTGGGAGCTGAGAGCAGAACACTGAGATGCACAGCTTCTCTCTGCCTCTTTACAGTCACTCAACCTAAAAGCAATTTTCAGTCAGTCAGTCAATTTAACAATATGTGTAGTACTTAGTTAGCCATCATTTTCAAACAGCTGGATCCTGACCTTATAGTTTCCAGTTTACTGTGTGGACTCACAATAGTTTCATTCCTGAATCCTGCACATTGTTGTAACTCAAATCCAGCTCTCTCAGACTACAGGACAGGGAGCTGAGAATTGATGACAGAGCTTCATGGCTTCCTTCTGACATTTTACAGCCATTCAACCTAAAAATGATTTTCCATCAGTTAATTCAATAATGAATGTATGTAGTGGTTAAGAGCTCAGAGAGTCATCATTTTAGCTGGATCCTGACCTTAGAGTTTCCAGTGTGCAGTGTGGACTTTTCAGTCCAGCAGACAACAGCTTCAATCCTGAATCCTGCACATTGTTGTAACTCAAGTCCAGCTCTCTCAGACTACAGGACTGGGAGCTGAGAACTGAGGACAGAGCTTCACAGCTTCTCTCTGAGAGGTAACAGCCAATCAACCTGAAGATCATTTTCAGTCAATCATTTCACATATCAAATATAAAAAAATGAATTAAATCTTTCTGAGTAAAATTTTAAAAATAGCTGAATCCTGACCTGAGAGTTGCCAGTGTACAGTGTGGACTCTTCAGTCCAAACGACAGCAAATTCAAGGCTGAATCCTGCAGTTTGTTGTTACTCAGGTCCAGCTCTCTTAGACTAGAGGACTGGGAGCTGAGAACTGACGATAAAGTTTCACAGCTTCTCTCTGACAGATTACAGTCTCTCAATCTAAAAACAATTTTCAGTCAGTCCATTCAATAATTAATAGGCTATACGAAGTAAATATGAGCTCAGAGGCTCATCATTTTCAAATAGCTGCACACCCACCTGAGAACTGACAATCTGCAGTGTGGACTCTTAAGTCCAGAAGACAACAGCTTCACCCCTGAATCCTGCAATTTGTTGTTACTCAGATCCAGCTCTCTCAGACTAGATGACTGGGAGCTCAGAACTGAGGACAGAGCTTCACAGCTTCTCACTGAGAGGTTACAAACAATCAACCTAAAAAGGATTTTCAGTCAGTCCATTCAATAATGCATAGGCTATATGAAGTAAGTATCTGCTCAGAGGGTCATAATTTTCAAATAGCTGAACACTAACCTGACATTTTCCACTCTGCAGTGTGGACTCTTCAGTCCAGAAGAAAGCAGCTTCACTCCTGAATCCTGCAGGTTGTTGTTACTCAGGTCCAGCTCTCTCAGACTAGAGTACTTGGAGCTGAGAACTGAAGACAGAGCTTCACAGCTTCTCACTGACAGATTACAACCACTCAGCCTCAAGATGATTCAGCAATACATGAGAAGAAATTCAAACAATAGCTGTTGTTAATAGTTTTTCTTGATAGAGTAATACCAAATTCAAAATACACAGAACCAAAATTATAAACGCAACACTTTTGTTTTTGCCCCCATTCATCATGAGCTGGACTCAAAGATCTAAAACTTTCTCTATGTACACAGGATTATTTCTCTCAAATATTGTTCACAAGTCTGTCAAACTCTGTGTTAGTGAGCACTTCTCCTTTGCCGAGATAATCCATCCACCTCACAGGTGTGGCATATCAAGATGCTCAGACAGCATGGGGAGTGTACAGGTGTGTCTTAGGCTGGCCACAATAAAAGGCCAAAAAAACAAGTGTTGTGTTTATAATTCAGTTTAGATACTTATGTGTACACGTACAGAGCTTTGTTGGAGTGTTGAACCACTGGCAGCAGCCTCAGAAGAGCTTCCTCTGAAGCAGAATGTTTCTTCAGGTCAAACACCTCCAGATGTTTTTCTGATGACAGTAAGATGAAGACCAGAGCTGACCACTGAGCAGGAGAGAGTTTAGCTGTGGAGAGACTTCCCGAACTCAATGACGTTGGATCTGCTCCTCTAGAGAACGGTCATTCAGTTCATTCAGACAGTGAAACAGATTATGCTTTTCTCTACAGACAAATTCTCACTGATCTTTTTCTTAATGTACTGGACTGTGTTCTGGTTGGTCTTTGAGCTACTCCTTTCTGTGTCTGTAGACCTCGTAGGAGAGACTGATTGGTCTCTACTGAAAGACCCAGGAGGAAGCGGAGGAACAAGTCCAGGTGTCCATTTGAACTCTGTAAGGCCTTGTCCACAGCACTCTGGTAGAAATGTGTTGATTTACCTCCAAACACTTCAGGCCACCAGGATGTAGTTTGTTCTTCTGCCAGCAGATTGACACCAGAGTTGATGAAGGTCAGATGGACATGAAGAGCAGCCAGAAACTCCTGAACGCTCAGATGGACGAAGCAGAACACCTTGTCCTGGTACAGCCCTCTCTCCTCTTTAAAGATCTGTGTAAACACTCCTGAGTACACTGAGGCTGCTCTGATATCGATGCCACACTCTGTCAGGTCTGATTCATAGAAGATCAGGTTGCCTTTCTGCTGCTGCTCAAAAGCCAGTTTTCCCAGACACCCAATCATCTTCCTGCTCTTTTTATTCCAGTGTGGGTCTGTCCCAGCTCTTCCATCATACTTGATGTTCTTCAGTTTGGTCTGAACCACCAGGAAGTGGATGTACATCTCAGTCAGGGTCTTGGGCAGCTCTCCTCCCTCTCTGGTCTCCAACACCTCCTCCAGAACTGTAGCAGTGATCCAGCAGAAGACTGGGATGTGGCACATGATGTGGAGGCTTCGTGATGTCTTGATGTGGGAGATGATTCTGCTGGCCTGACCCTCATCTCTGAACCTCTTCCTGAAATACTCCTTCTTCTGTGGGTCAGTGAAACCTCTGACCTCTGTCACCATGTCAACACACCAAGGAGGAATCTGATTGGCTGCTGCAGGCCGTGTGGTTATCCAGAGGCGAGCAGAGGGAAGCAGGTTCCCCCTGATGAGGTTTGTCAGCAGCACATCCACTGAGGTGGACTCTGTAACATCAGTCAGGTTTTCATTGTTGTGGAAGTCCAGAGGAAGTCGACACTCATCCAGACCGTCCAAGATGAACACAACCTGGAACTCTTCAAACCTGCAGATTCCTGCTGCTTTGGTTTCAGTGAAGACGTGATGAACAAGTTCCACCAAGCTGTACTTTTCCTCTTTCAGCACATTCAGCTCTCTGAAAGTGAATGGAAATATGAACTGTATGTCCTGGTTGGCTTTGTCTTCAGCCCAGTCCAGAGTGAACTTCTGTGTTAAGACTGTTTTCCCAATGCCAGCCACTCCCTTTGTCATCACTGTTCTGATTGGTTCATCTCTTCCAGGTGAGGCTTTAAAGATGTCTTGTTTTTTAATGGTTGTTTCTGGTTTGTCTGGTTTCCTGGATGCTGTTTCAATCTGTCTGACCTCATGTTCATCATTGACTTTTGCAGTCCCTCCCTCTGTGATGTAGAGCTCTGTGTAGATCTGGTTCAGAGGGATTAGGTTTTCATCTTTAGCAATCCCCTCAAACACACTCTGGAACTTTTTCTTCAGGGTAGACTTGAGTTTACGTTGGCACACTGTAGCATGAGTTCCTGCATAAGCAACAACAAATGAAATCAGTGAGTAGATCCCACAGAAAATCAGAGAATCTAAACATTAAGTGTGGCTGTTTCTTTCCTCTATCAGTTTTATTCAGCTTATCAATGAATAACAAACTGCCCCTGATCTGATGCAGATGTGTGCATCATATTTGTTGGGGTTTTCAACATGAGGTCAGGTTTGGTTATTAGCTGAATATCAAAGATATTCTAGAAATATTCAAAATTATTAATTATAATTAATAAATTCAGGGCACCACCCTGAAATCACGGACCAATAACCAAATATGAGCCGAAAATAATCAGTCTAAAAGAGGGTTTGTCCACCTATAGATGGCAAACAGAGAAGGGTGAGTCCCCAGCCCCAGGTTAAATATGTCGGCCATATTGTGTCCACCTCAGGAAAAGCTTGATCCTGAAAAAATCGAGCCATCACCCACTGCAAACGACCTACTGTCCCATTGATTCACTAACATTGCATTGAAGAAATTAACAACTGGAGGTGATAAGGTGGCAGCAAAACTGGCAATTTGCTGCAACTCAATACATTACATTAACTCATTTGGCAGATGCTTTTATCCAAAGCGACTACATTTGAGGACAACATATAAGCATCAACAGAGCATCAAATACAGATCTGACAACTGACAATACATAATAGTAAGATCAGCAATAAATACTAGTAAGAGCTCATAGTACATATCACATCAATGGGGTAAATACCTTGCGAAGGAAGTAAGAGTTAACAAAAAGTGCAATCAATACAAAAAAAGTGCAATCAATACAAGATAATTGCAAGGGGATAGAAGAAGAGCACATGAAGTGCATGTTAGAGGTTAGGAATTAGAGGTGTTATAAGGGGAAGTTTTCTCGGAAGAGATGAGTTTTCAAGAGCTCCTTGAAGTTAGAGAGGGACGTCCCTGCTCTGATGGCGTGTGGTAGCTCGTTCCACCATTGTGGTGTCACAGATGAGAATAGCAAGGACTGGGATTGCTTTGTGTGAAGGGATGGCAGAGCCAGGCGGCGTTCGTTGGAGGAGTGTAGCGGCTGAGAAGGAACGTAAGTTTGTATAATGGAGTTTAGGTAGATGGGTGCAGACCCAGTAGTCACTCTGTATGCAAGCATTAGTGACTTGAATTTGATTCTGGAGGCCATGGGGAGCCAGTGGAGGTCACTGAGTAATGGAGTGACATGAGTCCTTTTGGGCTGTTAAAAAACCCGACGCGCTGCTACGAACCATTTGTAAGGGTTTCACCGCACAAGCTGGAAGATTTGCTAGGAGGGCATTGCAATAGTTCAGGCGAGAGATAACCGTGGCCTGTACCAGAACCTGGGTGGCGTACTGAGTGAGGTAGGGCCTGATTTTCCTTATGTTGTATAGAGCAAAGCGGCATGACAGATAGACAGTAGCAACATGGTCTGAAAAGGACAGGTAGTCATCAATCATGACACCCAAGTTTCTCACTACCCTGGTTGGAGTGATGGTTGCGGAGTCAATTTGTAGTTTGATGTTATGGTGGATAGATTGCTTGGCCGGAATGACCAAGAGTTCCGTCTTAGAGAGATTTAGTTGAAGGTGGCAAGACTTCATCCATGCAGATATGTCCGAGAGACAGTCTGTGATCCGTGCCGAGACGGTGGGATCGCCTGGTGGGAAGGATAGGTAGAGTTGCGTGTCGTCTGCGTAGCAGTGGTAAGAGAAGCCGTGCGAGCGAATGATCGGCCCAGTGGGGTGGTGTAAATTGAGAAGAGAAGGGGCCCAAGCACTGAGCCTTGGGGTACCCCTGTGGAGAGGCAGTAGGAGGGGGATAATTGTCCTTGCCACAAAACACTGTAGGAACACCCCGAGAGGTAGGATTCGAACCACAGGAGTGCTTTACTCGAGATGCCCATTGCTGAGAGAGCGGATAGCAGGATCCTGTGGTTGACTGTGTCAAAGGCAGCTGATAGGTCAAGAAGGATCAGAACCGAGGATTGGGCTGCAGCTGACCTTAGGGCTTCTGTTACAGACAGAAAAGCCGTTTTAGTACAGTGGGCACTCTTAAAACCAGACTGATATGGATCTAGGAGGTCATTCCCTGAGAGGAATTCTGAGACCTGTTTGAATACTGCCCGTTAAAAATGGTAGAAGAGACACTGGTCCATAGTTCTCAACTTAAGTTGGGTCAAGTGATGGCTTTTTGACCAAGGGTGTAACCCGAGCCCTTTTGAAAGTGTCGGGAAGGTCCCTGAAGCCAAAAAGTATTTATCAGATGAGTGATTGTCGGGACAACGGTAGGAGATATGGCTTGGAGGAGATTCATAGGAATCGGGTTCAGTGGGCATGTAGTGGGACGGCTACGGGTCAGGAGCTCTGATACTTCGCTCTCTGTGAGAGGAGTAAATGAGGAGAGTGAAGAACCACTGACCTGGGAGGGCAGAGGAAAAGATGTAGTAGGACTGCTACAATGGTTGAGTTTGAGTGTTTCAGAGAATTGGCTAGTTATAGCCTCCACTTTGCCTGTGGAGAAGGCAGCAAAGGTATCAGCAGACAAGTTTGTGGGTGGTGGAGGTGGAGGAGGATTTAGTAGCGCTTTAAAAGTCGAAAATAATTTCCTTGAGTCAGTGGCACTGCTACTTCTGTTATTATAAAACACAGTTTTGGCAGCACTGATGCTTGTTGAGAAGGAGGATAGGAGCAATTGGTAGCCCTTAACGTCGGCGGGGTCTTTGGTTTTTCAAAATTTTCTTCCAGCATCTCTGAGATCAGTACGGAGCCCACGATGGTATCAGTTAGCCACGGGTGGGGCTGGTTTGGGCGAGCAGGCTTGGTGGAAAGAGGACACAGGATATCCAGGCACTAGCTTAGTGTAGAGCACAGAGATTGTGCGGCATCATTGACCTCAAGTGAGGAAAATGTGTTGAGGGAAGGTAGAGCGGAAGCTACCACTGAGGCAAAGTGAGTGGGAGACAGGTTGTGGAGGTTCCGGCGGTGTGAGACCAATGGTGCTGGAACAATGGGCTCTTCCTGTAGGCATACCGTGAACTGAATGAAATAGTGGTCTGACACATGTAGAGGTGTGACTTCCCTACTTTCTCTTGTTCTGTGAGAAACATGAGCTGTGGCTTGTCTTGGGAAGAATGTACAATTAAGAATCTGTTTGATTAAAAGCCACGTGAAATCTCTTTTCTCTTTCGTCTCCTCTCTCCATGTGTATTTCACTCGCGGACTCGATTCGCAATGATTTTCGGAATGCACAGATTTGATTGGCTGAGCAGCAGCACATGAGACCATGCAATTGGTCTGTGAGTTCCTGGGCCGCTAAAGCAGGACAGTAAATGCTACAAAAGCTGTGAGGGTTCAAATAGAGACGCTCCGTCACAAGGTAGTAATTCTTAATAATAAATCGGCTATTGGTCCGGAGAGAGCGGTGGCTGGGTCTGGATCGCGGTCTGCCAATTAGGGACCTCTGCCCTCAAGTGTTAAAATAATATTGGTTGTGCCCAAGGCGTCACTTTGTGTTGAAAAATGGTGGGGACATTTTAGAGCTCGTATTAGGGGTGTAATGAAACACAGTCCACGAGATGTGAGAATGCACAATATTGGGGTCATGAGAACAAGGCAAAAAGATTTTGAGCATTAAACACTTAATTTCCTGCATTCTAGAGACATTTTCTGCACCAATTCATGGTGGAAATGTCTTTATTTATATGAAGGGAAACAAAATTCATGAGGCCAGTGACAATTCAGAATATTAAATATTATCGAATATAATGCAGTAATCAGCAGCTTTTTTTTTTAGCCTAAGTCAGTTTTTTTGGACAAGGCAGATTTGTTTCTTCTATATTTACATTTTCTTATTGTGCAAGTAAACCCTTCTTATAGAATTTTCATCTGTTATTTAACATTTCTTGTTGCAAGCTAATTTTTAGAAAACTTTTAGCAAATGCTTTCAAAAAGTGGTGGGGACATGTCCCCGGTGTAAATGACACCTATGGTTGTGCCCACTGTTCAATAAACTCATATTCAACACCACAATAGGCTTTATTCTTATTTTTCATATAGCCTATGATTCAGATGCTCCAAATTCAGCTGTCACATGAAAAATGACAAAAAGACTCATAGTTATTAGTCGCAAATTAATCATTTCTGTTTCCTGTGCTTAGCACACAGCCCTGTGGCTGAGCTTCAGCTGTCACATGACAAATGAATGAAAGACACAATCCCGAAGACCCATCTCCATGTTGCCTCCATTTCCTCTTTCCATCATGTTAAATCTGTTCAAATCCTCTTACTGCTCTGCAGACGCTCAGCCAGCTCCTCCTGCTGCATCCTCCTCAGGAAGTGTAGTGTGATTTTCAGAAATGCCTCTCTGCTGCTCCTCCTCTGCTCTTCATCCTCACCGTCCAACACCTCCTCATCCTCACTCTGACTCTCTAAGTATTCTGGGTACTCTGGACTCAGAACCCTCTGGACTTTCTTTAGCTCGTTCTTCGCAAAAGTGATGATGTTCTCCTCCAGCAGCTGGAACAGAAAGATAAACTAAACATTAAATTTAAACTGGTAGAACATAACGTGATTCATCTGTCAGTCTGCTGGTCTAAACAGAGCAACATGGAGACTGTTAGGACCTGAATGGTAGCATTCCATTCTGTAGTTAATGTAGTTAATAGTAATAGTAGTGTGCATGTACATGTGCAGACCATAAATATGGAGTCCAGGTCTGTTTGAGGTCGCTGGGCAGACTGACCTCTGAGAAACTCTGAGCTCTCCTGCTGAACTCTGTGGAAAAAATATGGAGTTTAGGGATTTAATGACTCAAATCTGTACACAGTTTACTATATGTGTTCTAAGATGATGACAAAATGCGTCTGTGGCTCAGGAAGTACAGTGGGTGGAAGAAAAGTGCCATCATCATTGTTGTCCTACTGTCAGAAGCCTCACAGAAGGTGATCAAATTTGAGCCGACTGTCCTGGGAAAATCAGACTGACCAAGGTCCAGAGAGAAAGAGGACCATAACCAGCTATGAGGTCACCGAGGTCCGGACCTCCGTTATTATATGTAGGCTTTAATTCTATCTATAAAAAAAATAGAATAAAAACCACTGATAACACGATCAACAGGCAGACTGAACACAAGACAAAAAACAAACAGGACTGAAACCCCAGACACAGAAACATAAAGCAGACAAGACAAAAGCAAAATAAGCGCAGACCGACACCGACCAGGATCGTAACACAGGGAGTGAGCGAGCAAGGAAGTGAGTTGCTTGATAGAGGCTCCCTTCCAAATCTCTTAACAGCTGGTCGTGCACGGACAGTGTACTGGTTCACTTATCTTTTCCAAAGAGGATGGTGACATCTACCTTCTACCTTTTTAGAAGTAAATAGAAAATCACTAAGAAGTGGAAGAGTGAAAGATGCCATCCCGTTTTAGGTCATTAGCTGACTAATCAGACGCTGGATTGTGTAAATTAAGAAAGTTAGTTGTTAATTGTTGGAATCTGTTTTTCAGTAGCTGAGTGGCAGTGAGACTGTGAATAATGATGTGATTTGATTGCTGAACTCTGTCATGGAGAATCGTCATGGACAGTCAGAGATCTTCATCTTACCTCTGAGGGACTCCCTCCTCTCTGTCTTCACTCTGATCCATAGCAGAGCCCACAGCTGCTGCAGAGCTGCACTCTGTCACCGCAACAACACTGAGGATGTTCAGCTGATCCACATCCGGTCACAGAGACTCTGAGCTTCAGCTGGAGAGGAAACACAGAGAGAGAAGATGCTTCAGTCTATTTAATGAGAGACTGTTATCACCACAGTCTACAGACATCAGGGGCCACATTAGATCTTCCCTCTACTGGATGCATCACAGTCCACAGCTGCTGCAGAGACGCACTCTGTTACTACAAGCCTCTCGTCACAGGACACATTAGTTCTCCGTCCTCTATCTAAAAGTTACTGTAGGAACAGTGAATCAGCTGCTCCAACCTTCAGACACACTGAGCAGGTGCACCTCAGAGAGCCGTGCAAAAGAGCTTTCAGTCAAATCAGTCCTGCTTGCATGTTGGAAGATGGTTGCATTTTGAATAAACACATCACAGCAGGGAGATCCAACCTGTTGGACCAGTTCAGACACACCCTAAATTTTTCACTGATGATGTGAGTTCAGTCAACAAACTTCTTCATGAAAACTGAAAACATTTCTACCTGTTAAATGCAGGTTTCTCCTTGCCTGGCCAAGTGCTTGCTCATGGTGGGAATTGTTGGGTTTCTGTTAATAATAATAATAATAATAATAATAATAATAATTGAAAGAGTAAAATCTAGACCTGCTGTAAATCAAAAGTGCAACGAGATAACTTCTATTATGAATTGGCGCTTAATTGAATTAATACATGCATAACATTCTCACAAACATCCTCTCCATTAGCTCAGATAAAAAGGCTTAGTGCAAATCTGAAGAATTAAACAGGTTTAAACAAGGTTAAACATTTCAACTGCGCAGTCAAACAGTGAGACAACACAATGTCACCAAAGTGATCCTGATTATCTAACATCTAGATTTCTCCTGTTGGATTCTCACCTGCTGAACTCACTTCGGGCAAACTTTCAGACACTTTCCACCTTCATGTGTAGAGGAAACACTGGCAGAGAAGAAGCTGCTTTGTCATCCTCGTCTGTTTTGATCTGAGGACGCTGTCACATCCTCATAACTTCACTCCGAGTCTAAAAATAAAGATATCAAATTGACGTCAATACGAGACTAACCTGCAGAAACCCAATCAGAGAAGTCACACATCAGACTATGGAGTTCCACCAGCTGTCCACTAGGGGGTGGTCTCAGGGGTTTTTGAATGCTATGTTTGGCCTATGCAGAGGTGCAAAGTGACTATTATAACTAACTATAACGGTGGTCCAGTGGATAGCACTGTGGCCTCACAGCGAGAAGAGTTTGCATGTCCTCCCCGTGTCTGCGTGGGTTTCCTCCACCATCAAAAACATGTTAGTTCTTCAGTCAGTGCAATTGACCGGGCACTGGTAAAGATCTGGAGTTGGTTCCCGGGCGCTGCACAGCGGCTGCCCACTGCTCCCTCGAGGGATGGGTTAAATGCAGAGAATGAATTTCGTAACATGTATGTGACAATAAAATGTCTTCTTCTTCCAATATAATTTACTCAGTTGTAGTTTAGTCAAAAATAGTTTTCTCACTTTTTCTTATTTGCTTCCTTATGTATTTTCTTATTTAATTCTTTATTTTCTTCCTTTAAAACTGTCATTAGAACTGTCCCAATACATCAGGCAGGCTGGTATTAATTTATTGCAGACATATCAGTATCAAAAAACTCAAACCGTCTCCTACTCCCCAGAACTAAGCTCAAAACCATGGGTGATCGTGCCTTCTGCTCTGCCCTCCCTGACCATCTGAGGGCACCGCAGACTATTGAGACTTTTAAAAAAGGACTAAAAACATTTATTTTTAGCAGAACTTATGAGTTTTAACCTTTCACTGAGACTGACCTAAAACTGAATTGAAAACAGCTGTTTCAGGGAGTCAGAAACAATCAGGTAGTTTATCTGAAGCTGACTACAAATTCAACTTAAACTAATAAATAATACATTTAATATATTATATGAAAGTAAAAAAAGTTTATTTCCAGAGCTTGTGACAAAGGTTTTCACCTGTTTGCTGTTCGATGAAACGCGCAGCAGAGGGCAGCAGAGACTCACCGAGCTTTCAGCTGCTACATGAAGGAAAAGAAGAGATTCAATGTGAGTGTTCAGAGTTTTACACCTTTTTACTGACAGGACAGAAAACAAGCGCTCGCTGTTCAGTCAGACGTCTGCAGACTCAAGTCAAAGTAATAATAAAGTGAAATAACACCTCGAATGCGATAACAGTAAAAATTAATTTGTTTTTACTTTCACTTTCACTCTCACTATCTGATTTGTTGTTTATTGTTAATCATTGTAATTCCATATTTTTATATTTTGTTAATTTATATATTTATGTTCACAATATTCTCTTCCCTTGCACAGGTTTTTTGAAAAAGGACTAAAAACATTTCTTTTTAGCAACTTATGAGTTTTAACCTTGCACAATAATGTTGTTGCACTATTTATCTATATTTTTTATAACTGATGTTTTTTCGTTGCTTTTATGATCTGACCTGTAGCACTTTGAGGTTTGTCTTAAATGTAAAATGCATTACAAATAAAATGTATTATTATTATTACTATTATTATTATAATAGTGTGTATGTCCCACACAGAAATAATAGTAATCTCTTAAGGATTAGGACAACTGCACCAACTCCAGCACCCAGAACAAACTCATTTAAAATGGCTCTCTTCAATGTGAGATCACTTTCAAGTAAGACTTTTATCTCAAATGATTTTATCTTGTCTGCAAATCTAGATTTTATGTTTTTAACTGAATCCTGGTTGCAGATGAATGACTATAGCCAGCTAGCTGAACTGTGTCCGCCTCAATATGATTGTTTTAGTCAACCGAGGGTCAGTGGTCGTGGTGGTGGGCTAGTGAGCGTGTGTAGGAAAAATTTTAAATGTCATCAAGTACGCTGTGATGAATTTAACTCATTTGAAGTTCTCACTCTTAAAGTTGGAGGGCTGCAACCTATCATATTTGTTATAATTTATCGCCCCCCAAAACCGCCTGGAGGAGTTTTATCAGAACTTCCTGAATTTTTATCTACTCTGGTTTTAAATTATGACAGAATTGTTCTTTGTGGCGATTTTAATATTCATGTTGATGACCCCACCAATGTTAATGCAACTGACTTTTTAAATATGGCCACTTTTAACTTCAAACAACATGTCAAAGGGCAAACACATAACCGTGGTCATACACTGGACTTGGTTTTTACCCTGGGTGTCAGCATTTCCTCTGTGGAATTAGTGGACATGACCACATCTGACCACAGATGTATTGTTTTTAGCTGCGATTCGCCTGTTACTCATGCCGCCTCACCAAGCTCCGTGTGTTCTCGCTTCTTTAATGAACAAAGTGTTTCAAAGTTTTGCGCATTCTTTCAGAGCCAAAGCCAACACCTGTCTGATTCCAACACCAACAATCTGGTCGATCACTTCAATCATATCTGCTTGTCGTCACTAAATATTACTGCTCCTCTAAAGGTTAGGCCTACGTCTAAAGTTAGTAAGCAACCCTGGATAAATGACAGCATTCGCAGCCTAAAAAGGGAATGCAGGAAAGCAGAGCGCAGATGGAAAAAATCCAGTCTCCAAGTCCATTACCTCAGTCTGAAGGATTTATTAATTAACTACAATAACTTGGTTAAGGATGCGAGAACACACTATTTTTCTGAACTCATTACTACACATAAACACAATAAGACTGTGGATCAGCTGGTAAACCCAACCCCTCCTTGTGCCTCAGCTGGAAGTAATGATGACTGTGAATCTTATTTTACCAATAAGGTGGTGTCAATCAGAGCCTCTATTACCCCCGCGGCCTCTTACTCAGAGGTTCCTCACCAGCAACAACAGAGTTTTAACCAGTTTTATCCCATCGACTTGTCTGAGCTTTTAAAAACAGTATCACAAATGAGAGTGTCCTCCGGCCCACTTGATGTAATACCTACAAAGTATTTACTGAAAGTAATAGATTCTGTTGGGCCCCATTTGATCTCTGTTTTCAACAGCTCCCTATCTACTGGTTGTGTCCCTGATTATTTTAAAACGGCTTGCGTGAACCCACTTTTAAAGAAACCTGGTTTAGATCCCTCCCTCCCACATAATTTTAGACCAATGTCAAAACTGCCTTTTATTGCAAAGATTCTAGAAAGAATTGTGTCCAAACAGCTGCATACTGTACTGGAAAATAACAAAATATTTGAAAAGTTTCAGTCTGGTTTTAGGAAGTACCACAGCACTGAGACTGCCCTGCTTAAAGTCACCAATGACCTTTTAATGTCTGCTGATGAAGGTATGTGCTCAGTCCTGGTACTCCTGGACCTTAGCGCTGCTTTTGACACCATTGATCACAACATCATGTTAGACAGACTGAGGCACTGGGTGGGGATCTCTGGTACTGCCCTAGAATGGTTTTCATCCTACCTGTCAAATAGGAAGTTTTGTGTGTCTGTAAACAACTATGTCTCTTCATTCTGTCCAGTTAAATATGCTGTGCCTCAGGGGTCGGTCTTAGGACCCATTTTGTTTTCCTTGTATCTGCTTCCCCTTGGACATATTATCCATAAACATGGCATTTCTTTTCATATTTATGCTGATGACACACAAATATACTTGCCAGTCAGATCCACAGACCCTGGAATGCTGAGTTCACTTAACAACTGCCTTTGTGAGTTAAAAAATGGATGTCAAATAATTTCCTCCAGCTGAACTCAGACAAAACAGAAATCCTGGTCATCGGGTCCCAGCAGATGGCAAATCAAATACTGCCATCTGCTGGTTCCCTAGTAAATCACATTAAGCCTGTGGCAAAGAACCTTGGTGTTTGGTTTGATAGTAATTTAAATTTCGAGCAGCACACCACAAAGCTTGTTCAATCATGTTTTTATCAACTTAGAAATATAGCTAAAATTTGATCTATGTTAACTTTTAAGGACACCGAGACCATTTTACACGCCTTCATCTCATCACGCCTGGATTATTGCAACAGCCTTTTCACCTGTTTAACCCAAAAATCTATTGATCGACTCCAGACTGTCCAGAACTCAGCTGCCAGGCTTTTAACCAGAACAAAGAAATATGACCACATTACTCCTATTTTAGCTTCATTACACTGGCTCCCAGTATGTTTTAGAATTGACTTTAAAATTCTATTGATCACTTTTAAAGCTCTTCATGGCCTCTCGCCTTGTTATATTTCTGACCTTTTAGTCCCATACGCACCAGCACGTACCTTGAGATCCTCGGGCAGAGGTCTGTTGTCTGTTCCAGAGTCTCGACTGAAAACTAAAGGGGACAGAGCGTTTGCTGTCAGGGCCCCGAGGCTCTGGAACAGCCTGCCCGAGGAAATCAGGTCGGCTGAGTCAGTGAACTCTTTTAAGTCCCTTCTTAAAACATACTTTTATAGGAGAGCCTTTCCCGATCTTATTTGACTTTATCTTATCCCTTTTATTTTATTGTATTTCACTAATTTTATATAAATTTTTCATGCTCTTGTTTTTTTTTTTTTTGTATTATTCTTTATACTTGTTAAAGCACTTTGTAACTTGTTTTTGAAAAGTGCTCTACAAATAAGTATTATTATTATTATTATGTCGGCTAATAATCTTTGTGACACCACAATGCTGGAACGAGCTACCACACGCCATCAGAGCAGGGGCGCGTGGTAAACTCATCTCTTCCGAGAACACTTCCTCTTATAACGCCTCTAACCTCCAACATGCACGTGATCTTCTTCTTCTATCCCCTTCCATTTCTCTTGTATTGATTGCGCTTTTTTGTTAACTCTTACTTCTTTCCCTAGGTATTTACCCCATTGATATTAGCTTTTACTAGTATTTATTTCTGCCCTTACTAGTATGTATTGTATGCTTACAAGTTGTTCCTCAGATCTAAGCTGCTTTGGATAAAAGCGTCTGCCAAATAAGTAAATGTAAATGACATTCTCTATTTCAGTGCTGTTCATACTGTTATATTGTCATATTGTATATACTGTATACCAAATCCACCTACCTCAAGTACATAACTCCTCAATA